CATTATTTGCAACAGACTTTTTACCAGATATCTCCATCAATGTTTTGGATTTAAGTGACTACAGGTTGAGGTAAACTGCCTTCAAAGGTTATTTAACCAAGATAGGTAATAAATAGTACTGTGCGTAACATGCATTTCTTTGTCCATTCAGCTAAAACAGACACATTTATCATAAAATGCTGTCACATAAAGTGATTTTGTAACAGTCTTTAACATCAAATACTCAAAATTGGGATATTCATGCTACTAACAGTAGATTGATATCAGGAGAGCAGAAAGACTATCTTCCGTCGCAGACTGAAAACCCACGTTTCACTTGTACCTTGGCCATTAAACTCAACACATACACACACATACGCACACACACATTAATTGTTCACATTACAATAGACATTGATATTGAAAAACTACACAACACAATGGTATTTGTAGTTCTGTCATATTAAACATATCAAGTAAAACAAAGTAAAAAGTGGTGAACAGTTTAATTGAATGTTAATCACACAATTAAAAGATGTTTAAGTCTGGTTTCGTGGTCAAGATGGTTTGAACTGATCTCAGACTAACTCTCGCAGCGATCAGTGCTACATAACATAGTATGCAAGTGCTCTATAAATAGTGTGTGAAAGTTGTCCTTTGGAAGAAACACAATCCCAGAATAACAGCAGGTTTATAGTAATATTCTCAGAGCAGATAAGCGCCTCACATTAGATGAACCGGCAGTAGAGGGCACTGCATCAAACAGCAGCGCTCTAACCCTCTTAGTGCCGTTTGAGAGGAAATATGAAGAGACCGAGTAGCTTCAGATGGAAACGTCTTGACCAGTCCTGTGATGTTCACCATGGAAACACTCACATCCACATGTTAACATGAAATCATAAATGAGACCAATGCATTCAGCAATGTGAGAGATGTAACTACTGAAAGTGTTAACAAACAGACACATTTATATACACACATATTATTATTAGATTATATATACATTCTCTTCACACATGCATACATACATATATACAGTGTTTAATGAAAAGCATTCATTTTTGATATAACACTACATGAGGTTGTACATTTTAAATAACCAGGGATGAGGAATTATTCCTGAGTAAATAACATGACATTACGTCATTTTTTAAATGTTATACAAAGTGGGGGATAGTCACTAAATAAATGTACTCAAGGACTGTACACAATTACATTTATAAGGTACATCAACTTTTCTTGAGTATTTTCCTTTTATGCTACTTATACTTCACAAAGTGTCATAGGCAGATATTGTACTGTTTATCTTACCACATGTATCAAACAGCATTAATGACTTTTTAGGTTTGTACTATATCAAGAAATAAATAAATCAACTAATACACTATGATGTACTATTATTGAAATATATACAGTATATACCTGGCAGTATTAATTAAATGTTTTCCATAAAAATGAAGTTATATACCAGTAATGTAATACACATTATTCTGAGAATGGCCACTTTGGATAATTAGTACTTTTAGATGTGGTACTTACGTATATTTGGTCCCTTGTAACAGAGCATTTGTACACTGCAGTATTGTTACATTTAATTAAATATAACATCTTTGTACTTCTTCCTCTTCTGGTTGTTCATTTTCCCCCCAAAGGTCAGTCTGTGAGTCGTGTGCTTCATATAGTGATACAATATGTTTCTTGAATGCTCTGATGTTGAACTCATAAAAATGTCACTGAATTTCACAGACATGATTTATAACTGTGACCAGAATGAACAACACAAGGAGCTCTGATGATGATGATGTTATGTGATAAATGATAATGTAAAAAGAAGAGGAGGGAATATGACATTTATACACGGCTATAAGGGCTACAAATAGGCTTCATGCTGAATTATGTATATGTTTTAATTAACATCACATGATCTATATGTTGAAGCACTGTGAAATATTGCACTAAAAACGACACACTCACCACGTGATGTTGCTCAAAAATGCTAATAGGGTTTGCCATGTGTCAAATGCATTTAAATGATCTAATAAGTCAATGGCATGTGTCAAGATGAAACCCTTACTGTAAAAGGTCATGTGGTGATACTGATTCACCTTATTTTATCTGATTGAGAACAAGATCCTAACCACAAAAATTGTGCTTTCACAATGAAAAATAACTCATTTATTATAATAATAATAAATTAATACCTCATTTATTATAATAAGGACACCATTTTTCTTTAATTATGTCATTGTAAGGCAAGCATACTGGCGTGAACAAAACTCAAATCTAACTTGAAGCAGGACGTAGAAAGGTATTTTTTCAAATGTAACTCCTGCTAGGTTTCTGAATGCTCAAAGTCATACTCAATCAGAAAAATAAAGATAACAAACAAGCCGTATTCACGCATAAACAAAACATATTTTCAATTTAAGGCATAAGATTATGCATGTTTCTTTTTTTTGTTTTACTTGTACTGTCTGTGAAAAAATACAGTTTGTATTTTGAGAAAAGTGCATGTATGGACAAAACAAATCAATTCACAGAATGTAAAAAGACTAGATATCCAGCCTGAAATGTAAACAGATGAAGCAGAAGGCCCACCTCTCATAAGCCTTAAAATAAAGAGCGTTGTTGCACCGTGATTGGACGAGAGGGTGGGTGAACGCATGCAAGCTGATATTAATTATTTATTCTGAGTCAGTCCCCGGCGCCCTGCACAACAGGTGATCTGAATAACCTCCAATCAACTCAGAAGAACTGTGACATTCAGCTAAAAGGAATTAGGAAAAGGGAAATGACAACAAGTACAAAAGAATGAGGGCCCGCCACAGTCATGACTTGAGAAGAAAGACACTGCATGATCTGTCAACTTCAGAATCAGAATACCTTTATTTCATCTATTACCTGTGCTGCAGTTTTTAAGTCAGACATTTTTATATTTCTACTTAATTATTCTGAAAAGCTAATTAGTGAAAATGTCACATGAAAACTGTAAAATTCAGCCAGCTCATCATCCAAGTCTCTTCCATGCCAAAAACAAGCACTACACTATACTTAACAATAAGCTCTACAGTAAACAGTCCCGTTTCACAAGAAGGACGTTTTTAGATTTTAAGGTGTGAGGTATGGTTTACTGGCCTATAAATATCTTCAAGCAGGTGGCTAAAGCCTGTGTGGCCCATCTGCTCTCTAACCCTCGGACACGGTAGAGGATACAATGGTGTGAGTTTATGTTCACCTTTCATGAGTGTGTGTATCCTATTTTGATCTCCACCACTTTCCCCTACAGTCTTTTTAAATGTGTTTCATGAAGTTCTTATAAATACCCTTATGAAACATTGATCCCTAATAATAACTGGCCTTACCGTAACCCTAATGAGATAGAGAGAGTGTGTGTGTGTGTGTGTGTGTGTGTGTGTGTGTGTGTGTGTGTGTGTGTGTGTGTGTGTGTGTGTGTGTGTGTGTGTGTGTGTGTGTGTGTGTGTGTGTGTGTGTGTGTGTGTGTGCCATGTGAAGGTAAAGCACAAGCCTCTTAGGTGTAATCCTGCCTGTTTAGGAGGGGGGTGATTCCAACACACACACACACACACACACACACACACACACACACACACACACACACACACACACACACAAACGCACAGACACAAACACACACACACACACACACACACACACACACACACACACACACACACACACACACAATGGACTAATGTTATGTCATTAGTCCAGGGTATGTATAACTAATATATAACTAATAAAATGCTCTTTCAAAGCTTACTTATAGTCTAAGTAGTAGTGTGATTGAAATATCTTGCAAAGTATCTTGCAAAAAGTTTGGAAAAAATGATATATTTAATGATTAATGTATCTTATTATTTTTCTGTCTTTGCAAATAATAATTGTTTACAGGCAGTGGTAATGTGAACAACTCATACTGTACCAACCCTAACACACCCTTCTCCTCTGTTCAAAGAAGCATAACTTTGTGGTTATTGGCCTGAGTTTAGTTTAGTTTGGCTGGATACATAATCTGCATGATGTATGTGTACAGTTTACTCTCCAGGCAAAGTTGACCTTTTATGTATTATCTTAAAATGTACACACGTACGTAACACAACTTGTTTTTTAACTCAAAATATTTTTTTGTGCAGTAACTTTCACCAATCTTTAATATAACTTCTTAGGGTTTCAACGGTTTCAACAAGTAATTAAACATCAATCATCACACCATTTTGCAAACCTATTCATCCTTTAAAACACACACACACACACACACACACACACACACACACACACACACACACACACACACACACACACACACACACACACACACTGCTTGGGTTTTTGTCCTCCAGTTCAATAGACCTAACTACTCTGTTGCTGCTGGATATCTTAACCTATAAATATCTGTCAATGTTTACTTAATAATTGATTTTTATTTTGTATTAGCTAATAATATGGATCTAAAAAGTAACTAGTAACTTAAAGATGTCATATAAATGTAAAGGTAAAAAGTACAATAAAAGTAGTGGAGTAGAAGTATAAAGTAGCATGAAATTAGAATTTCTACTTGAGTACAGTACTTACAGTAAGTAAATGTTATGTTTGTACTATCCATCACTGGCTTGTGTGTGTGTGCCTGTTGTTAATATGTTGTGCTCATGCCTGGACATGATACTCTTATGCAGTATTTAGACTGGCTCTTCGTTCATTTAATTACCTTCTGGATTATATGAATAAAAACGTTTCACAACACAAACCTGCCTGACAGGGTGTGTTTTTCTTGTTAGATATTTAAGATTAAGATCTGAGGCGTAAGAAAATAGCATCTGTGACCTTAATGTGAGGTTACAGTTAATTGCATACCAAAAGGGTATGAATGAGATCTGTTTAGATAATTATGTAACAGACACTTTCTCATTAAATGACAGCTCCAGATTTATTTCATTCACAGGTGATTGTTTGTAGTATTTGTGAGAGAATAAAATCTGACGGGTCTTTTCTCTCTTTTACAGACTATCTGTGTTCTCCGGAAGAAAACGTCCACATGATCGACTTCACAAGGTTTAAGATCCGCGACATGGAAACAGGGACGGTCCTGTTTGAGATTACTAAACCTCCAATACCAGGTCAGCTAGAAGCCAATATGACACATTTTCTATTAGATTTAGACAACAAATCGTTTTAGGAATTATGCCCCTATTTCACGAACACTGAAGTAGATATAACACAGATCCCCAAATACATTAATATTTTATGAAGTTGTATTATGATGTCTTTGTTTTGTTTATGATGTGTCTCCATGTCACAGAGGATAATCGAAGATAAACAATGTAATTATAGATAGATAAGTGGCAGGCACCTTAGAAACTGTATGTGAGCTTTAGTTCCTTATATATTTCTTTCTTTTAAATGTCTCTTTTTTTCAGCGGGAGACAGAAAGCTCTTTGACCCCAACGCCGGCCGCTTTGTCCGATACCAGTTCACACCGGCCTTCCTGCAGTTGCGGCAGGTTGGAGCCACGTAAGTGTTTTCTTTAATTTTTTAACAACATATCTTGATCCATATTGAAATTCTTGACTCATGGAACAATTATGTTTAGCTTGTAATACACACATGTCTACAAATATAAACTCTGTGCTTTATACGTGTGGACTGGTATATGTGAACATTATATTAAGAACAAAGAGTGTTAAGGATCTGATTCTTTAAAAAACATATTTGATGGTGGAAGGTGTTTAGTTGCAAAGCAAATTGCACAGGGTTACATGCATGTACTGTAGTAGGACAAGACAGTTATCATTAAACTAATGCAATTAAACAGGAGTTTTGTATACACAAACCACCCACTTATATGTTATCAGGCTATCAAGTGACAGGCTAATGTTAACTGTCTGCCTCCTTAGCCTTCTTATGTGCTTCACTCTAGTCCCCTAAGTTAATATTCAGTGTTTATTTAAACACTTTGAGAAAGAAAGAGACGTGTGTGTAAAAAAGCTGAATGATGCATGATGTCCGGTCGACCCAGCAGCACTGACAGAAGACGCATGCGGGCTGTGGGAGGTGTGGGAGGTGTGGGAGGTGTGGGGGGGCGTCAGTGTGGGACGACAGGCTGACGATGATCTGAAGATAGAGAGCAGCCAGGCCCACCTGCTGAGTCAAATATCTGTCAGTGCGCCTGAGGCCCTGAGCGCTGTTCATCACCAGACTCCTACTCTGTGTCTTTCAATCCAACTGACTCCTAATGTTAATGGCTTAATGAAAAAAACCTAATATACATTAAATGTGTTTTTGAAAACTGTAATGGTTCAGGTTTTATGTTTTCTTTTAGCATAGCTCCTCGGGAAATGTATTTGTTCACTGTTCTGGGAGGACAATTTAAACAAATGTTAACAAATCCTAGGTCAGTGCAACTTTTATAGATTTTTGTTATGATCCGATGATAGGTTTTATCATCTATTTACATTGAAAAAACCAAGAATAAAACACCAACCTCCAGCGACCATATTTATGACAGCAACAAATGTGGAAGTCAGTTGGTTTTTTAACTTTTACTTTACAAACGTAGTTCTTTTCAAAACCAAATTTCCTTTTCTTATCCTAACCAAGTTCAATCAGGAGAGACGTTGATGTATGGAATACATATTTATTACCGGGACACATAATATGATGTAATAATGATTACCACAATTATAACAGGAGAAGGAAATGGTGTTTGGCGATTAGGCCCCAGTTTGCAGGATAATCATTCAGGAGGGGGAAGAACCGCTCCGATGAAACCCCCCGGGGTCTAGACACTGGTGGTGGTGATAAGTAGGTGGGAACGGACTGAAGGGAGAAGGTTAGCTTGGTCCTGAAGGAGACAGGAGGCGAAAGGAGTGGAGGAGGGTTGCGTTTTGTCACCTGAAATGACAGCTGACAAGAGGGAAGAGCAGATATAAAGGGATTAGCGGGAGCTATGATAGGCTTGTGAGAATGGAGAGAGGAGAGATTGGTTAGCTGGGGAGTGACGCCCCCGATCACTTAATGAGGGAGGAGAGTTTAATGAAGTGACGTGTAATCTGAATGAAGAGCTTGGTCTTCCTGATTGAACTTGCGCTGAGCTTCATTAGTTTGCTGCCTTCACCTTTGAAATGAGTTGTGCTTGTGTTTAAAATATTTAGTTTCCACAGTTTTGAAGAGGTCTTTAAATTTCAGTTTCAGTCTGCAGTGTAGAATGTGCAATAGTCCTGTCTGACACATTATTGTGCTAATAATGACCGCTGATAACACTCAATTATTGACTTGATAACATTCAAAATGTTAGTCTCGTTGCATTTTATTTACTACCAGGCTTGTAAATGTATTTCATTCCTTTGTTCTCGCAGAGTTGAGTTCACAGTGGGAGACACACCCATCAACAACTTCCGCATGATTGAGAGACACTACTTCCGCGATCAGCTGCTCAAGAGCTTTGACTTCGAGTTCGGCTTCTGCATGCCCAGCAGCAAGAACACGTGCGAGCACATCTACGAGTTCCCAGCGCTGTCCGAGGACATCAGTGAGTGTCACACACAATACGCCCACATGCACGTGTGACCACTAGAGAAATACACTAACACAGAAGTTGATTCGATCTAACAGGATATAAAGATGCAAAATCCTAAGTGTTGTGTGTGTCTCTTCTCTCTCAGTGCGCGAGATGATACTGAACCCTTACGAGACGCAGTCTGACAGCTTCTACTTTGTGGACAACAAGCTGGTGATGCACAACAAGGCAGATTACTCCTACAGTGGGGGGCCATAGGAAGACCACCCTCCACCTCCCACTCCCTCCTGCTCTAGACATTTTCCATGTACCACTTCAGGACCGGAAACAGATGAACTAATGGACAATTCACTGGCATTAAACGCTCTTGTCTCACTCCTCCATAAATGTCCATTCAGGTATTCAGCTGGAGGACCAATATATTTCTCCCGTTGCCTCTTTGCAGGAACATTGAATTCTGCCAGTTTAATCATCCGTTTGCATCCGAGTGTGTGAGTGAGTGTGTGGGCAGCCAACACATGCAGTGTCTGTACATACTGCTGATTTCAGTCTGTATACGTGGGTTACACTTGATCATCAGGAAGACGTCCGATCACTTACATTTACTGTGTTTTATAGTTATTGATGTGAAAAGAAAAAAGGCGACAGTGTGTCAGAAACAAAGACAGAAAAAAGTTACCCCCAACAAAAGTTTAATAACAAATAATCCATTCAGATGTACATTTATATAGTTTGTATAGAAAGTTCATTACATATTTAGGTTTCTTAAATTCCTAGTAGCACACATCTGATTCATTCTGTCATTGTTCATTTGAATAGAAAATGTGTACTGTGTCTTTGTGAATGTGTCATTTGTTTTATGTTTACATGTAGTACTACTCATTCAGGAGTATTTTTTAAATAAATAGCCACTTTTACGTGTCAGAAAACCTACATTAGCCCAAATTCAGATACCAATTTTGATATCCAGTGCGTTCTCTGTAGTACTGATCACTGTGTATACTTTAATTATGATAAATGTTTTAAGTATAAAATGAAAAAAAGTATGTAAAGTTTTGACAGCGGAAATTCCATCACTGCAATAAATATGGACATTTTTCGAAATCTTGAAATCCATTGTTGTTTTTTCAGAAGAAAGTATAAATAAAAGTAAAAGCAGACAAAATATTATCAAAACAAAGAATCTGAATCAATACAACAGAAGGGACCAAAATCAAATCAAAACATTCTGCAATTGTATAAATGTATTTTCCAGGTTTCACTGACTTGTATTTATTGGTAATGCTAAGTGACAATGTTATCTATCAATAGATTCAAACTAAACGGTATGTTTTCAAATACATAGTTGACTTTCAGATAAAGCCTGAGATTTGGAAATGAACTATGGTCTTTATCTCTCTGGTCTTTTTCAGGCTACGTAATGTAGAAAACAAAAGTACTAAAATGAACGACAGTGAAGATTATCAGATGATAATCCCTCGTTTTCAACACGCTGCAGGTGACAAAGTGTGTTTGCTGCCATCTTCTGTGACAACAGTCTTACTGCATTGCAGTCAGGATGACCCCTAATATCATCCACCAGGCCGGCTTGTTATTGGACATCAGTATAGACAGCTTTTCTTATGCTGATAAGATTTTTCGAAATACGTAAAAGTAAATGGATTAAAGAGCAATGGTGTGACATTTTAAAAACGATGTCACGATACATTCTGCAACAGGTAAATAAGATAAGATAATATAAGGTAAGATAAACCTGTGTTGATCCCCAAAGGGTAATTATCAGCAACAGCAACAAGGGTGAAGCACAGCATAGGACAGATGAATTCACACAAGGATAATAATAATAATAATAATAATAATAATAATAATAATAATAATAATAATAATAATAATAATAATAATAATAATAATAATAACAATAACAATAATTATAATAATAATAATAAAAACAATAATAACAACAGAAATAAAGAAATGTTAGAATAAAAAATGTTTAAAAAAATGTATGACAGCATAAGTTATCTCGTTTTTCTTTTCTCATTTATAAAACCTTCTCATCATTGGCAAACTCACCGTGAAAAGGGCTCTTGCAAACAGATAAATGAAAAAGAAAAATGTGTATGAAAAACAGAAAAACATACCTATTTCCTCCACAGTCTGTGATGCAAAGGTAAACACAGGGTTAATGGGTTAAAATAACCTAAGATGCTTGAGACAATATTACTCATTAAAGGTTAATATAGTGGTCAGAAAGTGTGAGAGCCCAAACAGTCTTTTCATTAGGAGATGGAGGCGGTGCAGGAGGTCAGATACCCAGCCAGGCTCTCCACCCCTGAATAACCCGCAGGATGCAGCCCATTCAAATAACCATCAAAGCTTCTGCCTGTGTTTCCGTCCTCAAACTCCGCTTTTCGTCGAGCGACGCCAGTCCTCTCTGAGAGCTGACCCACAGGAGACGTGGCCTGAAGGCAGCTGGTCTGGACGACCGAGGTGGTGGGGGTCTCCTGTGGGTCGGGCATCAGGCTGTCCTCCTGTAGCTCCTCCCAAAAGTAACCTGAGAAAAATATGTAATTCATGAAAGAACGCACGATTCGACATGTCACAGTAAAAAAAAGTTGGTTGTGGTGTGCGTAATAAAATAAATGCTGAATTGGTGTTAAGGTAAATAAGTTGTGTACATCTGGTTTGTAGGCAACTGCTAGCATGCTATAAGGTGAGAGTACTATAGAAAGCAAAGCAGACTTTGGTGTGATTGGGATGAGTTGCCTTCTTCATGTGTGTGTTTCATCTCTTCCTGTGTCCCAGAATGTGATCACGTGATGAGTCCTAATGCTCTCTCCTTGCAGTACAGTAAGTATAAATATTGTTTGTTTTATTCCTATCCTTCATATTGTCTCTACCTTGCAGCTGTAGGTCAGTCAGACTTGGGTTGAGCGTGTCGATGTCATAACTGACGTCTCCCTCCACCAGCAGGTCCTGCATGCTCCTGGAGCTGTACTCCGCCTGCGGGGTGCCACTGTAAGCAGGGGGCATCTTACCAGCCATGGGGGAGTGCAAGCTCCCATTGACTGATAGGAAAGTGGCTGCAGGCTGCTGCCCACAGGGGGAGTACAGGGAGAATGAGTTGCTGGGGTGAGCAGCGGCAGGGGGGGGGGTAGCAGTGCTGCTGAGGCTGAACATGGGAATACTGTAGATGCCAAAGAGATGGGCTGGATGGCGGCAGCTGGGCTGGGGAGCAGGGTGACGAGGTGTTGCCATAAAGAGGGGCCGCTCTGGTTATCACAGCTGGGTTGGTGTAAGGGGGCAAAGACCTGAGCTTATTGGGTCTCTCTCCCAGAAGACGATCAAGGCTTTCTGTAGGAAAAGTGTGTATCAAAATAAAGTACAGGACAGATCTGCAGTCTTTGCTCTTTAAGTCTCTTACTGTGAATTTGTGGTAAAGTCAATCTTTTGAAAAACATTATTTTCCATTGAATTTTCTTAATGTCCTGTTCTATGGCACTGACATTTTAAATAACAATGTTTAAGGGACTTACCTGGTTTTGCCATGCTCCTGCGAACTGTGACGGGGTCCTTGCGACGCCATTTGTGCAGCTCCTCCTGCATTTTCTCCACCTTGGCTGGATTGAGAGCCCAAAGACAGCCTTTACGGGACGAGTTCCCATTTTTGTTCTCCACCTTCACAAAGCATTTGTTGAGAGAGAGGTTGTGACGCACAGAGTTCTTCCATCCATCAGGAGCTGACTGAAAACAGACAGCAGTTGATAGATGTGTAAGATGCAAAAGAAAAAATGTGAAGCAGCAATTCTATAGTCTTTACATTTCACAATGTCTTAGTACTTATGCAAATGTTTATCTCCCAGTATTGTCTTTAGTTGGTTGTTTTTTCTGACCAATTATAGCAGTAGCCAGTTAATGTTAATAAAAGATAATCAAAATAGATACAAAGACATTTTGTTGAATGACTATACAGTATGATTCATTGATTAATTTGAGCTCCATACACTATTTGTTTAGATGCTTTTAAAATGTAAAGCAGGGCTTGACCTAAATGCTTACATTAGCATGCTCACATGATCACAATAACAATGCTTACATGCTGATATTTAGCAGGTAAAATGTTTACCATGTTCACCATCTTGGTAAAGCATGTTAGCATGCTATAATATTGCATGAGCAAATCCACAAACTGCAGTTTAGTCTGATGAGAATAAGTTTTGCCACAGGGAATTTGGTCATAAACAAATAGTCATGTGGACCTTATGGCACTGTGTCAAATTAAACAACTCCCAAATGTAATTAATGATGTTTGAAATCCCTTTTGAAACCTTAAACAGACATCTCCTTTCCTGAAGGCGATATTAAAATGTGTGTTCCTTTTTTCCACCATCTGCATGTTTAATATCTGCATGCCATACCAATTCGTCAATGAACTGAAATTAACTTAGATACTTGACAATATCCAGAAAGTAGATCTCAGCTTTTTGCAATCCTTTAGGACAGGGGTGTCAAACTCAAATACACAGTGGGCCAAAATAAAAAAATGGGTACTAATCGAGGGCCGGACTGGTTCAATGTTTATTGCAAAACTTATTGAAATGAACTTATTGCACATATTAAACCTGGAACTAACAAAGCTTAAATGATTGCCTATAAAAACAACATTAAACATTAAATAATCAGTTGCATTCATTTCTTATGGCTCTATCTGCAGCTTTTCCGGAGTCATTTCTTATGATTACATTTTTCCACAGGCCAACAACAGCTTCAAAAAAACAATTTCCCTCAAAGAAAAAAACAAACATGCCCTGTTGTCGCAAGAAAGAAAGTGCAGAAGGAAACATTGAAACTCAGTTTGCTGCTCTGTGATGCTAGTTCAAGCCAGATACTTGGCATCTCATCTTGAGTGCAAGTTCATCAATGTTTGGGCTCAGGCTCTGAGCTGAGGAAATCCTCAGGATTGAGTGAAGGTGTGCGTGCAATATACCGGCAGGCCAGATCTAATGGTAATTAGAAATGATCCTGTGGGCCGAAATTAAATCCACCACGGGCCTGATTTGGCCCCCGGGCCTTGAGTTTGACACATGTGCTTTAGGAGGTCCTTGAAGTATCATTTATCAACTGCTGTTTTTCTAGCCCTGCAGCCTGCTTTTAATGTTACAGACAGCTGTTTGGAAAGCAGCCATCCTCTGGGTGCCTTCTTGAATACGAATGGCAACAAATCTATAAGCCCCAGATGTGAGTCTGAACTTATTTGATATAGATACCTGGGATCCTATTGAAAATTTACAGTTTTTGTGACGACCGGGGTTCAAACTGAGTGCCACCCCTGCAGCTGCCTCATTTTATCCATAATTAAATCACAGAGGTTTTAATATGCCAAGGACCTTTTCAGCAACATGATAAATTATAATATCTCTATGGTTTATGATCAGATTTGACACGCATGCACACACCCACACACGCACACAGCCAATATTAAACAGATACAAAACATCTCCTTATTAAGCTGCCAACACTTCAGTGTATTAAGGCCTTGTGCCAATCTGAATGTTAACCCTTCTACTACTGATCAGAAAGACTGTTGATCTAGAGCAGGGGTCTTGAACATTGTACAGGGCAAAGACCCCTTAGCTGAAAGAGAGATGCAGCAGGGACCCCTTACTATACAGTATGTGTATAGAGTTGAGTTGCATAGAAAATTGCTAGTGGCATAAAGTTCCATGTTGACCTTTTCATGCTGCATACAATACTAAGCTATACAATTAATATTACATAGCCATAGCTAACTAATTCACCATTATGGATAGATAATAATAATAATAATAATAGCTTGGATTTATATAGCGCCTTTCATGGGACCCAAGGTCGCTTAACAAAGAAGAATAGGGGAAAAACAAACATAACAAAACAAAAGGCAGTCAGACAAACAGTCAGACAGACAAAACAACAGATAGATTTAGGGGCCTAAGGCCTTAGTAAACAGATGGGTCTTGAGGGCGCTTTTGAAGGCGTCAAGTGTGGGGATGTTGCGGATCTCCGCAGGGAGAGCGTTCCAGAGGGTGGGGGCTGCCACACTGAAGGCTCTGTCCCCGAAGGTTCGCAGTTTGGTGCGGGGGGTGGTAAGCAGGCCAGAGTCTGAAGACCGCAGGGATTTAGCAAAGATAAGCTAGCTCATGTGATTGCACTACGATTCATTTGTAAGAGTAACACTATTATCAATCTTGTTTAAATGTACCAATAATCCAATTTATCCTCTGCTACTATGCAGGATTTATGTTAGTGTAATGTGTATTTCAGAAGTATTTTCATTTTGAAAACAAATAATAATAATGTAGCCGCCTCCCCTGCAGTGTCTCTGATGACCCCAAGCGGTCACGGACCCCATGATTAAGCCCAATGATTGAAACTAATGGAGCAAAATATTTGAGTTTTTAGTGTCGTACATCACAACCCTTTTTTTCTGTTCTGCTTTTACAACGGATACATTTTTTCAGGGTTTTTTTATTCAACAATTGATAGAGAAAACTGTGTAAAATAGAAAAATTGTGGTACCTTGAAATAAGGGAAGTGTTCCGTCATGAAGCTGTAGATCTCACTGACCGGCAGGCTTCCTGTTTTACTGTTCTTCAGAGCCAGGAAGATCAAGATGCTGCGGTCACAAAGAACATTGTTTACATTCACACATTGTTGCTTTGGACATGAATTCAAATGTCGGCCAAAAACTATACCCAAATGGGTACCACTTTACAATAAGACTACCCTTATAAAGGGTTTACGAATAGTTTGTAATTAATTTATTAATTAGGTTGTGAACACTTTATAAATCATTAATAAGCTTTTATAAGACATGAGATAAACAGGGCAACTGTGACCGGTTGCTTGCCAAATAGTCTTATATTTGCTATTTAGCTTACTTCTTCTTCTTCATCAGCCAGCATCCTTGGTGTCTGTTGCTCACTGAGTTGATTCTCGGTAAGTATACCAATATAAGGCTTAGTCATCTTGCCAAATTAGTGACCCTGTGTTGATGTATGAAAACTATGTTAGAACTGGTTTATAAATGGTTCTTAATGATTAATAAAGTGTTTACAACCTGTTAATAACCTAATTATAAACCCTTTATGAATCCTTTATAAGGGTAGTCTTATTGTAAAGTGGTACCCCTAAATGTTATGCGTGTTACCTGTATGAGTAAATGGGCTTGGGGAAGAGGGGCTGTGTGTTGCTCTCCTGCTGTGATTGAGTTGGGAGACTTTGGAGAGAATATTTTGAGCTGTGGACCTGATCGTTGTTGTGGTACAATCTGGGTGAGACCTGAAGAGGAAACACACACACAAGCACACAAATCATGACCTCAAAACCAATGAAAGGGAATATGTTGCTTTAAAGCCATCATGCATGCCAGTTTCTTACATTTGCGTTGGCTGAGTCATGTGCACTGTCCGCTGCTTTTGCAACAAATAAGGCAGCACTATCTTTGCTCATTGTTTGTGACACCTTTAAATCATAAAGGTACATGTCTTACTCACATTTGATCAATCATCACAATGAAACCATCTTCTACAGTGATACTTGATGCAATCCTTGAACTGACACACTCACCTGTTGCAGAGGGACCGATGAGCTGTAGGATGGGTAGCTCTGAGACAGGAAGCAGGAGGGCTCTACAGGAAGGGTTGATAGTTCTGGGTACGAACTCTGAAATAAAAAAAGGAAGGAAATAGTTTCAAGAAAAAAAATCTAGAATGCATAATGTGTGTTAATCAATTTGAAATAAATGTTCTGTCTACAATTAATTGTATGACCTTATTGACACCTTTAAGTCTGCAGTTTACTGATGTTTTTTCTAATTTCACATTGACATAGCATCAGCTTTAAAGTTGATATAGTGTAATTCTCAGCAAAGAGATACACATCCAGTAGTTAGAAAGAGAAATTCTGGAAAGTTTGAAATTGTGTACTCTTCCCTAACTGATTCATCAATTTTTATTAATTAAACTGAATTAGAACACAGATTTACTATAGTCAACCATGACTAACATTTATCTCAACCTTTTTATGTTTTTTTTTGCTGTGATATCAACCATATGATTGTTTATCATTTTAAATGTTATTGTACTATTCATCTTGTCTTATTCTGTAGGGGGGGGGGGTTACAAAAATGGACAACCTGCACACCTGTTTTTTTTGTCTTTGACACTGTTTGTGTTGTTTTAAGAAAAATGAAAATAAAGTTTTTTTAAAAAGAAGAAAAAAAGAAAGCGCAATTCCTGATATCAACTTCAGCCAAATTAAGAGGTAGCATAAATCTAGAAACCTGCATGCTGTCGTCGTATTGGTCCCAGGATGTTGGAGCCTCACTGCCTGAGCTGTGTGAATGAGTGTCAGGGCTGCACACCTCCTGCAGGCAGCTGAAAGAGGACGAGTCCTGCTGGAGGCCACCTGCAGCCGGCACCGCTCCATCACTGAACTGTCGATGGTACGGATGGAAACGGTCAGAGTCAACATGGCCTCCAAGGGTCCCATCAGTGCTGTGCCTCCTGTTCACTGCTGCAGGCCTCAAGCTGAAGGTGTTTCTCTCTCGCAGGGTGAAGCAGACGTTCCTGCCCTCGGTAGTCTGTGGTGTGATCCAAGTCATTGAATATTGTTACAGATGCAGATCACCGCTTGCTAATGGCAAAAAGTCAGGGCTGGGTTTGGTGCGTTCAACATCAAACATGTCTCTACACCTTTTCATTGAATTAGAAGCTGCCAAGATGTCATTAATAGAAAACCTATTCTCTGCCAGTAAACAAAGACAAGAGCCTTTTAACCTGATCCTACATGTTCAAACACAGGTTTTACCTACATTATAAAGTTATGTAACATTTTTCTGGGCAGCAGAACACAGGCATTTTATTGTGATATGTAGAGCTTGTGAAACTCTTCCAGAAATTGTACGACAATTCGGATGTCTATTTTTTTTTTATTACAGCTAAACCTCGTTAGCTAGAATGTAGACTGAAAACAAATGGGGGAAAGAGCTAACCTGGCATATACCAACAACTGGTAATTGCACCTGGCCAGGAAATAGTGTGTCACGTAGTAAATTAGTATATACACGTAAATTCTAGTCCAGATTAAACAAACAACACATACCAAGATAATTGTGTACCCTAAAGGTGCTGATAGGCATTTGTTTTCTACCTTTGGACAGAGTTAGGCTTGCCTTTTCCCTTGTTGTAGGCTTTATGCCAAGCTAAGCTAACCGGCTGCTGGCTGTAGTTTTGTGTTAATCGTAAAGATTGTTCACAATATTCTCATCTAACTCTTTGCAAGTACGTAAGCGCAATTTTCAAAATGTCCTTAGAAAATGTGGTGTTAAATATATTGTGTTTCAGCAGGTAAAATGAACCTTAAATCAATTCTCATAAAGGGCAGTTTAAAACAAATGTCTATGGAAATGCCATAATGTCCAAATAAGATTCAGGAATGTTTTTAGACATAAAAAATATTTTTGGATTAAAACAGAAAGTCATGAGGTGGTTCAGTACCTGTGATTCTGCCATCTGCTGGCAGCCGGTCCTACAGGGCTCACAGGTGTGCGGGCTAGCCTTAAGCGTTGATGCTAGAAACTTGCCACTGCTGTGGGAAAATGTCAGGGGGTGTGTAACTTTGCACCAAAATCTGCTCCTGTGAAGAGATGGAAATGGATCAATTTGAGATGGGAGAGAGAGACTGTTATTAGTCAATTACATTTTCTGGATTCTGCATAGGCTAATGTCTGATGGATGACAGGTTTCAGTAATTACAATTGCCTGCTGCATTAATTTAAATTAAAGGTACACTCATGTTATGCTCTTGGAGAAATAGTTTTGGGAAATGCAAATATTTGCTTTCTTGCCAAAAGTCAGAAAAGAAGATATACTGTACTCTAATGTCTGTACCTTATGGCTAAATATGAAGCTTTAATCAGCAGTTGGTTAGCTTAGCTTAGCATAAAGTTTAGACACATGAGAAAACATACAGAAAACTTACTGTGTTAGGGGATTGCTTTGATCAGAGCCAAATATATTTTCAGTCTTTGTATAAGCTAAGCTAACCAGCACCTGTAACCATATTTACCATATTAGATGGTATTGATCCTTCAATTATTAAGAAGGAGAGCAAGCCTTTTCCCAAAACGTCAACCTATTCCTTTGTGGAAAATGCAAACTGTAAAGCTTTTTGTTTGTTTGATTTATATTGCAGTTGGCCCATAACAGGAAGCGTATCTCCAGATCTTAAGTGTTTTAACAAAGCACTTATTGTAACCGATCCTTTGAAATCATATCTTCTTATCTATTGAGTCATTTTTCCGCTGTAAATCTGCAAGACACACAGTAATATGTGTTTTGACAATGGGTGTGAGAACAGTTCACTTTCAGTGTCAGTTTATTAAAACAACATTAGCACTTATCACGGGGCATAGGTTTATTGGGCTGAGTGTAAAGAAGTGTTATCTGATCTCAGCGGAGGTGACAGACACGTGGCCCAAGTTCCAGTAAAGGTAACCTCAACCCCGACATAAACCAAGCTCATTAAAACTGCCAACAAACCATGGCTGTTAGGTCACATAAAGCCAAATAATGCTGATGCTGAGAGTGGGATCCACTCTGTGTGTGTGTGTGTGTGTGTGTGTGTGTGTGTGTGTGTGTGTGTGTGTGTGTGTGTGTGTGTGTGTGTGTGTGTGTGTGTGTGTGTGTGTGTGTGTGTGTGTGTGTGTGTGTGAGAGCGATAGAGAGACAGACAGAAGAAGCAAACATAGCTCTTTCTGTTCACATGAAAGGAGGCTAAGGTGTTGAAGTGAAAGCTGAGAGATTGCCTTTTAACCTATGTGGCAACAAGTCCTCTCAGCTGCTTGACAGACGCACTTAAAGAAGGAAATGTAGAAGCTTCTGCAGGGGTGTGTGTGCTTAGGCAGTCTTAGCCTGAGATGACCCACATGTGCACATGTAGCCCCAGTTTGTGTTGCTCTAATAGTACATTTGAGTCCCAGAGAAAAAGCTCAGTTTCTCGATAAAAAGTGATTCCAGCTATCACTTTTTGCAAAAAAATGCAACTAATTTGACAACATTATTTCCAGAATCCACAAAGAATCCTCTAACCAACTGTATTAAAATGCCGCCATCATTCTCTCCCGTCATGCCGTTAGATGAGACTGATATTATGCAGTTTGTTTCTCATGTCAGAGAGCCAATGCCAGTGGTTATCTTACATAATTTCCAAAGCTAGCTAGACCAAGATCAACAAACAAACTTACATCAAACAAAACGTAATGCCAGGTTATCACTGTGCTGTACAGATATTCCTTATTATCTGTTCCATTCTGCTGAAAGAATTTTTGACTTTTATTTATGATGTTTTCTTGGATATTATTACTGCTGCGTTTACGTAGCATTTTACTGCTGTGTATCCGTTATTTTAACTTCTTTATATACTAATGGGTACGAGAACGCAGATGCCTAAAAAGTTAACTTCTCATGAGCTCAGAAAAACAGCCCTGCTGACTACTTTGTGGCATTTTTTTCATGATCCAAGAGGGTTTTCGAAAAGTTAGTTTAACAAAGAAATGTGGGTGGCTTTTCAATATATAAAAGAAAAAATAATTCTTAATTTCTTTCAGAAAATGTCAACTCATGTAGAAAGGGTATGAAATTGTAATCTGTAATCTGTATATATGTATATATATATATATATATATATATATATATATATATATATATATATATATGTGTGTGTGTGTTTAAGTAGATACATGTGTACATGTGTAGATATTTGTCATTTCAAACAACCCCGGTGTATTTTTTTCATTTTACTAATTTTGTTTGGTATTTTCGGGTCTCTAAAAATATATGATTTGCAAAACTGTACTTTTAATATAATGTGAATAAATAAAGAATTACAAAAAAAGAAATTGTAATCTGAAAAGTAACTGTCATAATAGTAGCTGCCTTACATAAGCAGTGGAGTGCAAACGACCGCTGAGATGTTGTGGAGTACAGATTGCATAACAAGGTAGTACTATAAAATACCTGAGTACCTCAAATTTGCTACACATTTCATAAGCTTTACACAAATGTTATAGAAGTATTACTCTTTCTATGGTAATCCGAAGACAAGATAAAGTACTTATGTCTGTCTAATTGTTAGGATTCACACTGGCAGTCTTTGCTCTTTCATGATCAAATGAGAAGGCGGCCACTCAAAGTTCACGGCGCCGGTTAAACAGCAATCGGGACCTACAGCAGTGCCAACCCTATCAGTGCAGTACTGTAATATCTCTCACAGTAGTTACCACATAAACATGGAGGTTAAAATGAGTATAAATCACAGCACAATTGTAGCAGCAGCTTTTCATTTAAACAACAACATTCACTTATTGGAAAACTGTCAAAGGAACTCACCTAACATTTACAAACAATAACCGGCCCCTTCTCTTCTTTGTGGATCTGCAGTTTCAGTCAGATTTTCTCACTGGTAACCTCTGGCGACATCTGGGCCCATTATACGTTGTGGATCTGTGCACCTCACACCCCCTCACTGTGAGTGGAGCACTTCGATTAGATTGACTGTCTAAATATGTTGTGGACTGGTGGATGGGCTGGTTTCAGATTTTGACAGTGCGTGTGTGTGTATGTGTTTGGCACTCATCCAGGCTAAAGCCCGGCAGGAAGATATACAGAAAGAAAAACCTGCTGCAACAGGTTACATAACATCTACGAGTTGCAGTCATTGGCAGCTGGCAGTGCTCTCTTCCTCCTTCCATCACTCTTTCTTTGCCTGACTGAATGGTCGCTTGTCTTGACGAGACATTAGATACAGTGCAGATCAGAGCCAGTGGCGGCGAGAGCAGGCGCAGTGCCCTGGTTTCTGAGCTCACCCATTGCAGATGCTGGCTTAAATGTGATCAGGTTTCTACTTAACTGGTGCACTATAAAACAAACGTGTGCACAAGTAAATACAGGCGTTTATCCATTTGAGATATTGAAGAACACACACAAAGTTACAGCTTGAGCAAACTGAAACAAAATAACTGGCTACTAGTTTTAACAGAAGCAGTCAATCTGGAAATGTCAGTTTTTGATGCAGCCAATAGGAATTAACTCATAATTTATGGACATACCCATCAATCAGGCCCTTGTCATTGGCACAATGAGTCATGAAAAACCCATAACAACCTTAAAAAGCAAGGGAGGCAGAGGAGTACAGTAGAAAGTGAGAGAGGTAGAACGAGTTGAGGTATGTCATTACAGGTAGATTCCTATCCTATCCTTCCCATGAACCAGGAAAACATTGCAAGCCGTAGCTCGGTGCAATACCTTGAACAAATTATGTCCTCTGCAAGAGGGCGAGGCAGAATGACAGAGGTAAGGATTGATTACAGATAGAATAAACTCTTGTGTTACATAGCCAGGCCTCTGACAAGCTGAGCTAGTGCCCAGGGCTCTTACTGACAAAGATTGAGTTATTCAGGAGGGTGTAATGTGGCATTAGTCTTATTGTCTTCTAGGAAATAACTGCTCCAAATGCAATTTCATGTTCTTCAGAGCTAGAACATGTTATTTCCTGTTTTTACAGTTTTATGAACTGTCATCATCATCATCCCCTGTTTTTATACACAGTATTAATCAGAGTGGTAATGAATCACTGTAACTTAATGGCAACCTGGTGACAGGTAACTGCCATTGGAGAAATTGGCCATGCTGGTACTCACACAAATATTGTAATGTTGTTGTAATAACGATGATGAAAACAGGCTGTTGTTTACTGTTAACATATTAAACTAGCATTCCTGTGTCAACAATAAAGTGAATATAATTGACAAGTGGGAAGGGGGACATTATAGGTCACCTAACCTAGCTGCTGCAGGGCATCCCAGGCTGTGATAGACAACAACAACAAAAAGAGTGAACAATTATCATTAAAAAAACCTTTGATCGTATGCATGGACGAATAAAGGGCAGCTCCTCTGCTCTGACACCCTGCCAGTTATTGTATGCATGGTTGCACGTGTTTATTTCGGAACCTACTGTGTACAGATCCTTTTTGCATGTGTTTATTTTAACTGCAACTGTATAAAAACAACAGAATTAAAAACTGAGTTTCCCTTTGTGTGATCAATAAAGCAAAGTGTATTATTATTCTTATATATATCTTGATCTGTGACCCTGTAAAACGAAGTTTGCGACCCGCTTGTCACAGGTTGCACAACGCATGTCAACGAGAGTTGGCCAATTAACCCAAAGACTAACTTTTTTTTCTCCGAGTGTTATATTTTGAGCTTTTCAGATCTTAGGTCCTGAAAATGTAAAATCATTCAGTAACTCAAAATGTAATTAACTTCCATTTACATGAGTAATACACTAAATTGCAGGTGTACGTTTTATACTATATTGTCAACTTACAGCGTTTTTTGACAGCAAACAGTAGCAGAAAGGGCCCCCCCCCCTTTCTGCTACTGTTTGCTGTCAAAAAATGCTGTAAGTGGGGGGTCACACCACTTCTAAGCATGTAGCAACATGTGTTTCACTGCATGATCCATTTCAATTGCTTTTATTAGTTTTATAACCAATCAAATCAAAATGTCCAACTAAATATTTGTTAATCAGAAGATGTTAAAGAACTGGAAAATTCTTTTTTTTATGTAATCAAAAATAGTGATTTACTAGTGTCTTCTAAAAACAGAGAGGAAACCATGCAGAGTTCCTAAGGCAACGAGATTTATCACTGAATACTTCACATTTTGGCTTCAGGGTAAAGGTATATGAATTCAGCAATTACATTGCCTGGCCAAGGAATACTTCATAATAAAATGTGCAGCTGTCTCCCCAAATGGATGTTCTCAGTATTATATATTCACAATTACCATTTCATTACAGATTCAGGTTCTTTATTAAAAAACATATTCAGAGATGCCCAGTACAGTCAGGTGTTAAAGATTTCCAGAGTATGATAACTGCAGATTTGTATGCATCGTCTCACTAAAAACACCTCTTGCCCATTCTCAGTAACCAAATACCAATTATTAATGAAACACCTGAACTACCAGCAGAGAGAATGTACTGCAGCATTATACAGCCTTTGTCTATTTAAACTCACAAATCACAAACTTGGACAGAGACCAAAAGTGATTAAAATAAGACAATACAAAGATATCATGACATAAAGATGTTGTCTTACCTCCGATCACAAGCACCTTCCATTAGTGCAAGAACCAGTTCAAATAGACTGATAGTTTCCCTTTGAATGATGTCGTCTTTCAGTCTGGACCAAAATAATGGTTGCTAGATTAAACTAAAATGTTTTGTATTTCATGATTGCTTACTCCTTTGACCTCTGTATACTGTAGTTATAGCATTTTGAAATCCTTTTTGCTCTCCACATACAGCAGATATGTGGACCCCTGCCAACAATTTCAATGAAATGTTTTTAATCAGTTTCCTATAATTGATTTCTCTTAACTTCAATCCTTTTGTATTTCTCCAACATTGACCCTTTGAAGGGATTAAGCTTTCTGTCCTCTGGCTCTCTTTACATCAATAAAGTACCCAGTGTCCCTAATCCTATGGATGGTAATGAGATTTATCCCATCAATAAATGTATCAGTCTAAAAAACGGCAGCATCTAGTGCTCCGACTGGTTTTCTTGGAATCTGGATATTCTGTTGTTTAAGACAACATTGATAAGTTCGACTGACTAAATGGAATACAATGATTATAGTTTTCTCTAAGAAACCAACTGAGAAATTATAGATAGTTACAGTTCTCTCAAAACTCAGACAGACATGGCACAACAGCCATAAGGCAAAAATATTCATAAGTAGTACACAGTGATATTTAAGTATGCAAATGAAAAATACAATTATTGAAGTTTTTGTTATGTTGTTTACATTTTTGTTTAATAGTTTTATTTTAGGTTAGTGTAACGCTGCTAATTACAGATACAAAGACAACTCAGAATATGACATTTCTCGCAGCAAACAAGACTGGCATTTGCTTGCATTAACACTTTTTAAATATCAGGTCTGCCAGGTCAAAATCTGCTTGAATGACAGTCCATGAGAGTATTAATCTAGATGCCATTAACTCAAAAGAAGGTACTTTAATGTTTCTTGTAAACATGTTGGTTTCTGAACAGCCTCACAATATGAGGGAGGATATAAGTCTGAAGAAGCCCTCAACATCAAACTGCGTTGGCCCGAGTATACTGGAGCTTTTAATAAAAGTACCATGTATACCATACACTTGCCTTCCAGTGGTGAAATCCTAATACTCAGACATTGTTCATATCCACCAGTTTTTCCCCCGTTTCCATTTTCCTGAGTTCACTTTCAAGGAGTTTTGGTGACATTGGCCCAACTGGGAAATTCATTCAGATTGAACATGGCCACCCCCCACGTGTTAATGGCAATGTTGATGGTTATGACTCCAAGAATGTTCAGAATGAATCCAGCTTTGGCCTGGAAAAAACAAAAAATAAAACAATGAAAATAAACTTATATTTTGGATCTGGTTCAAGGCAAAACAGTGTTTTGACAAAAAACTATCAGAGTAGGTATTAATACCAATTTGTCTCCCTGAGCTTAGTATCCATGGTAATATGCAGGTTATTGTCAGTATGCAAATAGATAATAATGATCAGATATAAGGATTTATATAAGCTGCTGACCCAAAAACTAGATATGAGCCTTTATCCAAAACACTGTGTGCATGTCAATACGCTCACTTAAGGGGTCTCTTTCCCAAAATATCTTACCATGTCTAGGACTTTGAGGTTGCCGTAGGAGAAGGCGATGGCGTTGGGTGGAGTGGCTACGGGCAGCATGAAAGCCAGCGAGGCAGAGATGGTGCAGGGCAACATGACGTACAGTGGGTGTATCTTGATGGCGGTGGCCTGGATTCAAAAATGTAAAAAAGACATTCACACATTCCAAATAGGCAAGTGAAAAACATTTAGTTTTTAAGTTTGGGGATGCTGAACTGAAATGTTTGTGAATGTCCCATAATGTCAACCAATACGATTAAATACGGAGTGTTATATTCTGTCTTACCATTGAGGCCAGTATTGGCAGGAACAGAGTGGTGGTGGCAGTGTTGCTGGAACATTCAGTAAACATGGCCACCAGCAAGCACAGCAGGATGGAGATGGCAAAAGGAGGGATGCTCTGCAGCGGTATGAGACTTTCTCCAAGCCACAAAGAAAGTCCAGATTTCTTCATGCAATTTGGGAATACACATATGAGCGTCCGAACAATTGTAAAATGCATTATCTTTCAGAAAGTTGTGAACTTGATGATCAAATACATTACCTCACTTCCATGTGCCAATGCAAAACCTCCTCCCAGAAGCAAAAGGATGTTCCAAGGCATCTTTTCATGGACAACGTCCCAATTAAGCAGAGCTGCAGGGGCTTCAGAAGAGGCCCCTGTAAGGACAAGGAGACAAGGAGACAAGGAAGTAAATCTTTAAAGCTGACAGTATCATTTCAGCTATTGGTTAAGGCAATCATAAATAAGTACATATCTAATCTAACTATAGAAAAGCCAAGGTTTTATCGCCCACTGATAAGATGAAGTGACCATAAATTTGTTCTGTAAAGATACAAAACAAATGTTATAAAAAGGTAAGCCATTCAAATATAATACAAATGTGGTGTTGTAATTGGATTCCTTCTTTTAAGCAGTTTTTCTCTTTTCCAAAGTGGACTTTGTCACCTCAAAGTCTGACACAATGATTAACACACTCTTACACTCTTCTGTGTACAAAACACTGTTTTTCCTCTTTATGACAGGTACTTGTTGCCTATAGGCAGGAGCAGGACACGCTTAACTTAAGTTACAAAGGGAGAAAAAATAGATTCATTGATAGAAAAGTCATTTTTCTAAGTAACAGAACAGCATGTACTGTTGCACAGGCTTGACCTCGGGGCTATCAGGCTACAACTCAGGAAGCAGATGGGATAACGTTTATTAGAAAATGCTGAATCAACGAGATAAGTTGTCACAGGCAATAAAAGACACTGACGGTGTCTTTGTTGTAGTACACAGAGAGAAAAGACAGACATGCTTATAAAACTGCATATTATTGAATGTTATGCAATAGTGAATTAACTCTTCCCATTGTGCTGTATGGACCTGCACAGAAAGAACAAAAAATAGCAGGTACCTGCCCTCTTGTTTTAACATCTTATCCTCTTAAAAAAAATCCCAATTTTATTAACATTGCTCAACAAAAAGAAAGCATAAACATGAAAATAGAAGTTTACTACTTAACATTTTTGTTTTAAGACAAGAAAATCCTTTCATGTCATTGCTCAACATGTAATCCTCAAAAAGGTCTGTGGTCAACATGTTTATTCACCTTTCTAAAATAAGACTATTAAAGGTGGGGTATGTAATTTTGGAGAAACCAGCTCGAGTGCGCTAGAATTTGAAAATAAACAACCGGAAAAAATCTGCCACTTCCTTACAGAGCCCCTCTTCCAGCACACACGAACGCGCACATGACCAATGAGGGCACGAGATAAGTTTGTGCACAGATGGAAGGCTGACAGGCAGGTAGGCCATCCAGTTATTTTAGCCGGGCCGGCTAAAATGATTGGTCGTGCTTTTTACAGTACTACGGCTTCCACAGATGACATTTTTTTATGGATTTTTTGTCAAAGCACTTAAGATATTCATTGCTATCGGGATGTTAAGAGCATTCCATGGAATATAACAAAAAGTGTATCTCGAGCCGGTTTCTCAAACTTACCTACCCCACCTTTAAGACATGTGGAAAACATGCCGGCTGACTTACCATCCTCTGACCTCCCGCAGCATCTTGGCAGTTTAGATGGGATGCAGAAGAAGAGTGCTGACATTAAAATGGCCACAGTGCCGTCTGTGACGTACCTGATGAGAAACACGTATTTAAATATCTGTGTTATGTAGTACCGACACAAAAATACTTAAGCTACTATTTTGTGGCTAGCGTCAAGATTAAAGATAAAAAAGGCACTATCATTTAAAGTTAGTAACAATAAGAACCATTGATGTCCAGGCAGTGACTTATATTTAATCATGTTCCCTTCCTTATTTCCTTCTCCAACACTGGGCCAATCCCTGGTTAACTCCTCACCTCTTCACTTTCTTATAAAAAGCCATGTGACAAACAGTTTTTCTTACTCACGTTTTGTCTTTGTTGAAGAGCACAGTGGCCCAGCCGGGTATGAACCCAGGTTCCCTGGTAAACCACAGAACAACCAGCAACGTGAAGATGGTCAGCACACAACCCTCAGCGAAGCTCATCCTGCCCAACTTTTTGTACTCATCTTTGATTACCTGGAACGCCTCCCTGTCTCCTTCTTTCTTGGTGCCACATCCAAATGTGCTTTTAAGGCTGCAATAACACAACGTGAAAAGTACTGCTTATATGGTTGCAATCAGGAAATATCAGACAGAGATTAGGTACATTACATGAAACTTACTTGAAGCCTAGAAACATAAACTGCAGCCACAACCAAGACAAGGCGAGCATTAGCACCATGTTGGGGAAGGCGAAGCCGAACCAGCTTGCAAAGTTGATTACGCCTCCATTATTTGGAAAGAGTCTGTTGATTATCGAAAGAAAACATTAAAATCAGAAAACAGCACAACCTTAACACCTGGATGTACTTGCAACAAGCCTACAAGTGCCAGCAAGTTGTTTTTGAAATAATAATGTTTTTTTCCAACTGGTCAGTATACTTTTTGCATAGGACATTGTATTTTTTAACAAATCTTAAAAGTTGGTTGCAAGTAGATATGCATGTTGTATGGAAATATTTCAGCTACAGAAAAGATGACAAAAAGGTACTTGATCATCATCTTGTGTAAATTCCAGTTTTTTGTTCAAGTACTTTGTTAAGTATATATATTGTGCAATCAAAATATCGCTATGTCAGTTTCTTCCAATATTGTGCAGCCCTATACAGTATGTGCGAGTTGTGTGGTAATTTGTGTATGTGCAGGACGTACTCATCAATCTGGCCTTTCATAATGACGTTGGGTGTTGTTCCGGTGAGGGTGGCCGTCCCACCGATGCTGGCAGCGTAACAAACACTCAGACTCATGCCTTTCGTCAGCTTCGTATACTTCTGCTCAGTCTTCAGTCTGCGCTGCTGGGCCTCTAGACCTTCATCATTAAAAAAATACATCTTATCTGTTGCATATTGAATGTAATTTTCTGTTCTGGGTTTCCTTGCTTTACCAGTTTCTGTAATTGTTTAATGCAGTGAGGAGAAAGTTGCTATTGTATTTCAATTGTTCTTTGAATGTTTAGTTTGACACATATCTTTACCAAGACTTGTTTTGCTGAGATCTTGGGTGACTTAACCAAACTGCTTGAAAATGTTAAAACAGGGCCAACACTTTTTGAAAGATTAAGATTTGTATTTTTACCTCATACCAATCACAGTAAGAATACATTTGACCTGTACTTCGGCACTTTTATTTCTGCTCTTTGTTTTGTTTGATTTTTCCTTTTACTATTTTAAGCTAGACTATTACTTAAAAGACAAAAGGTAAAAAACATACTTGATATTTTGCCATTGCTGTCATCTTTATCTGCATCTGCAAAACACCATGAGAACAAAAACATCAAAAACAATAACAACCAAAGAGTTAAGAAATAGTATAGTACAGAAAATAACAAAATATATGGACACTGCCACACACCCAAATTGATGGTGTTTTCCTTTGATTGGAGTTCTTTGCTCATTTTGGCATCACCCATCTCAAATGCCTGGTTATCCAGACCATTATTTGCAGCAGCCATGTTAAACTCCCTCTCTTCAGCGTTGGCCTCTGTGTCACACAGCTGCTGCAGCACAGCGTTGGCGATGGGCAGCATCATGGCTGTGGAGGCAGTGTTACTGATCCACATGGACAGGAAGGCTGTGGTGCCCATGAAACCAATCATCAGACTGGAGAGGATGCAAAACAAATGATTAGATGGAAAGTTGAAGTTTGAAAAAAAAAACCTTAGAGAAATGTATTGATAATGGCAAAAGAATATGAACCCTCTCAAACACAACATTTTCAACACCCTCCACTACTCTGTGAAAACTTTTCACAAGATAAGGTTCAAGGTTCAAGGCTTTTATTAGTCATACGTACATAGCTACAGTGTAGTTATGTCTATGGAAATCTTAGGTCACAGGCTCCACCAACAGTGCAACACAATAAAACAGATACACAGAAAAAATAGTGCAAGTAAATAAAACATTTAAAAAAGATAGTGAAATAGTGAAATAGTAGGTACCTGGCCACAGATTTTGGACAATAAAACACAGCTCACAGTTAATCAGTTAATCCCGAAGGTGTGTGACGTTGCTCAAAACAACAACACTAACAGAGATACCTCTTTCATTCTTAACCTTTAAACAAGCTTGTAAATTGTAGGATTTCCATCATTTGCAATTAAGATGAGAAAAAAAAGGTAAAGAAATCAAAAGAAAACAATACTAAGTGAAACAATTGCAGACTGATGTGAGTTTCAGATCATCATTTAATTGTCCACATAGTTTGTATTGTAGCTGCAGTGCAATATAAATGTGCAGGTATGAAAAACTATAAGGTTGCTTACAGAGATGGCTTCACCCCCACAATAAGCAGCACTTGAAGGGCGATTCTCCGGTGCAGGTTCCAATGCTCAACAGCAATGGCCACCAGCAGCCCACCAATAAAGAGCATGTTGGAGTCTTTCAGGTACTGGATACAAACCTGGATAACAGAGGAAAAAACACAAATCCATGTCAACCCATTCCATCAAGAAATGGTTTATTAGAATGTGTGATTGCTGTAGAGATGGAGATACCTCGTTTGATTCCATGATGCCCATCATGGGGAAGAGGATGACGGGCAGCAGGGCGGTCACAGCCAGAGGGATACACTCCGTGCACCAGTACAGCGCCATGAGGATAATTACATAACCACATTTTGCCTCCTGTAATGACAGACAATGACTGTGTTGCTTAAAAGTGTTAATACACAGTATGCGTATACTATATGTTACATATTATTTACATAAATGGTGTGATGCACTTGACACATGTGTACAAGTGAGATAACCTTAATATGTCTGTTAGGAAGTACAAACCCACCATAAACTGCTCAACCTTGGCTTACATAATATAGTTCAGTTAGCATAGTTAACCATTACCCAATAACTTTTGTAACTATCTTGAGTTAATCCTCTAGAAAATACTTTTGTTTTGTTTGCTTGCTGTTGAAATGTTGCAGTTAAAACATTTGCAGCCACTCAAATAGAAATGACATGATCAATTTATTAGTCATATAATAACTTCCTGCTTTTACCTTGAATATGTCTGGAACTTAGTCAAATATTAAAACAACTGCTGCTTGATTAAGATGACAAAGGTCAAACAATAAGGAAAACACATAAATTCTTAAATTTAATGACAGTTCCCTGTGTTTTATTGTGTTGCTTTTTACAACAGCTGAACACAAAGAAGAAAAGAAAACCAACAAATGCTCATCTACTTTAAAATCTACATGATGTGATGAGCTAAAAGGGAACATAAATCTTGATTATTTCCCCACTTTTTCATTCATCATAGTAAATGATCACATAGTGCAGAGGGTCATTGATGGAGCCCTCTTATTGAAGTAAGACATGTAAAGAAACAAATGTCCAGAGGCAGAGACCCCTAGTGGAGTGGAGGGGGTCGTAACACTGGCAAATAGAAGTTTGATGTAATCTGCAAGAGTTGAAGGTTTAGCATAACGATAAAACCGCTTCAACACTCTGAACTGTTACAGGAAGAAAGGCTTTAGCTGTTCCTGGGCTTGAGGGCCAAAGCCAAGATAGTGGTAGTTCAAAAGTGTTTTTACTATCAGGACACCTGATAATAAACATGATAAGTCCTGTCATCAGATCTGTTCTTTGATGTTTGACCTGTGCCTGTGTTTTGTTGAATAAAGGACAGACGGTCAAATCAGGATTTGTTTGATACGCAATAGGTCTAAGGCGAGTCTAATACAGTATGCAATTGCAGGAGCCGCAATATTCGTTAAAGTCAAAATAACATTCTGTATTAAGTATTTTGTTGCTGCAGAGATGTCAGGTCCGACAAGATGTAGGCTATTCTTTAAAAAAATGAAAAATAAATGTTGATTGCATTCCTTCAATATATTGAATCACAGCAATTACAATATCAGTATAGTTGCAATTAATGTAATTTTTCCAGTGAGGGTGGTTAAAGGGGTTTTAGAAGAAGTTTGTGCTCTACAAACAAATGGGTATATTAGAACTTTGGAGTAATGCAAGTAAACAAGCCACCCCTAATTATCAGGTCCTCATTCTTAAATATGTCTGTAGATATGTCCTACAATATAAAAATAAAAATATACATGTTCATTTTCTTACCGAGGTTGGGCAGATTAGGGGCAGAGGAAGAAGTAAAAGAGGTGTAAGGACTATCACAATGTAATTCCTATACTTCCACAGGCATGTGAGAATCCCAGCCATGAGCCACAAGGTGCGATGGACATCCAAAGTAGAAAGAGAAAGAAAAAAAACCACCGTACTAGAACGTACAGGCGCATTATTTATATCAGAATATATAGTACGTCACACTGAAAAAGATTAAAAATTAACTTTAGAGTTCATGGTCTGCATGTAGAGGGAGTGTTTCCATGTGGTAAAAAGGGGGTAGTTAAGGTAATGACCAGGAGAAAAATGTACCTTTTCATCACTGCTTTTAATACGTGATTAGTGTTTTGTGGTATATGTTTTTGGCATGTTATTTTTGTGATCATCTTAACTTATGTAAAGTTTCTTTAAATATTCAAAAGCACTTAAAAAATTGAATGCATTATTATAAAAACAATAAATGTGTATAATGAAAAAAACTTGATCTTGACTGTAGTAGACTTACACTGACACTATTTCACACTAAATGACTTTTGTTTAGTTTCCAACAACTGCAACAAAGAGAAATCCATGATTTTAGTGAAGGCAAAAGTCCTTTCCTTTAATGGACGGCAGTAGCTAAGTATTTAGGGATCTGGATTGGGAACTGAAGGGTCGCCGGTTCAAGTCCAGAGCGGACCAAAGTTACAGAATGTTGACTGGTAGCTGGAGAGGTGCCAACAAATGTGGATCTTGAGGTATCACATAAACAAGCTGAACAAACGTAAGCCGCATCAGAAAAAACATAGATTACCTATTTAATTTAATTCAGTGTTTAAGTTGATCATGTAGTACAGTTTATTTTAGATAGGGGGATAGTTGGGCTTCATGTAAAACGTTGTTTTGCTGACAGCAATGACAAACCCTTACAATCTCATAATAACTAATGGCACGAAAAAAAGCAGTCTTTTGTAATAGTTAGGAGCAAAGACCTCCAGTGGCAAAATATCCATATTACGTTGTTACGTTGTTTAGCCCATAAATAAACAAAAATCATAACTACTGAATGTGCCTTTTTGTAACTAATAAAGTGATACGTCTGTTCTCCAGGTCTTGTAAAAGGAAGCAGTAAAGGGAAATCTGGAAAAACAAAGTCACACTGACTAGATAACAGGGTCTATGGCCTTGTAAACAGGTTGTGTCAGATAACTTCCAAAACAGTGTTGTAATTCCTAAGAAAAACCTGGCACAGAGGCTGAAATGTAGATAAACCAGATCCTCCTACCGTGTGTGTGTGTGTGTGTGTGTGTGTGTGTGTGTGTGTGTGTGTGTGTGTGTGTGTGTGTGTGTGTGTGTGTGTGTGTGTGTGTGTGTGTGTGTGTGTGTGTGTGTGTGTGTGTGTGTGTGGTTTATGGTTAGAGGTATACACCCTCTACAGCTGACATTAATTACTTGTTGAAACCGTTGAAACCCTAAGAAGTTATATTAAAGATTGGTGAAAGTTACTGCACAAGAAAATATTTTGAGTTAAAAAAAAAACAAGTTGTGTTACGTACGTGTGTACATTTTAAGATAATACATAAAAGGTCAACTTTGCCTGGAGGGTAAACTGTACACATGCAGATTATGTATCCAGCCAAACTAAACTAAACTCAGGCCAATAACCACAAAGTTATGCTTCTTTGAACAGAGGAGAAGGGTGTGTTAGGGTTGGTACAGTATGAGTTGTTCACATTACCACTGCCTGTAAACAATTATTATTTGCAAAGACAGAAAAATAATAAGATACATTAATCATTAAATATATCATTTTTTCCAAACTTTTTTTAAGATACTTTGCAAGATATTTCAATCACACTACTACTTAGACTATAAGTAAGCTTTGAAAGAGCATTTTATTAGTTATATATTAGTTATACATACCCTGGACTAATGACATAACAGGCTTAAACCATAGACTGTATATATAAATATATATGGCTGGCTTCAACATTTTCTATTTTCCACCAGATTTAGCTATTACGTTTTCCCAGAGGGGCAAATACATGCCATTTTGCTGGTTTCATGCACAACAAAATAAAAGTGCTTTATCCATGTTCCTAATCAATGACATGTCACAGACTGTGAAAAAAAAGAACACCACCCTAGCCTTCCGTTTTTACGTTAAAAAAATGACAGTGGCGTTATGTTAAGAAAGTGTTTTTCATTTTCTTATGGCCATTAAATACATAGTGATTACTTTAAAGTGAGGTATAGCTTTTATCTTGAGTGGAATACTCTGCAAGTGCTGCATTCAAAATGTTATTTAAGTAAAGGTACAAAAGTAATGGCATACAAATATACTTAAAGTATGTAAAGTATAAGTACTTGTTTTGCAAATTAGCCCATTTCAGAATAATACATATTATATGCTTTGATCATAATTATTGATGCAAAGAGGATGAAATTCCTTTGTATGCTGAAGGGTAACTTTTGGATTTACTCCAGGTGTAACTGAAGTCTTATTTAAGTGTTTATTAAATGTAATTAAATTATTCCGAATCTGAAAAGTAATTAAAGGTATAAAAGTACGTAATATACCTCTGGATTGTAGTACATAGTATTAGAAACACTCAAGTAAAGTAGAAGTCCTTCAAAATGGTACTTAAATACAGTACTTGAGTAAATAATCTACTATTAGTTACTTTACACCACTGATAGCAAATAAAGAAAGCCGTGTAGTCCCCCTCTTTGTCCACACGGGGGTGCTGAGCTGAAGCCTTCAATGAGCCTCAGCACGGAATCCTTTATTTTGCTGAGCTGGTAGCTACATTTCCTTCCCACTAGTTTTATATCAGAAACCAGCAGCATAAACAAACTAGCATTAGCACGAAAAGCTAGTTATTTACGGAGCTATCTTAAATAAAAGGGCTACTACTCAATGTTTCGCTTGTGTTCAGACACTCTCAATATACAGTGAGTGAAGTTACCACGGTTAATGTTTACGCTGCCTGGACATGGACGAGCCGGACACCGCAGCGATTCTTCCCGGGGACGTGCTTACCGCCACGGACGAGGAGACACACGACTCTGGGGACCACAAACATGAGGCTGAAGTAGCGAGCACCGGCTTCGTACGACCACCGTTTAGGGTTACATGCCCGGTGTCTGTGGAGCCGGTGCTGTTCCTTTCCATGTTTTCTCTGGCCCTGCAGGCGCCTCTGTCCACTCAGTACCTGTGGGACCGCATCAGCGAGGACCTCGGCTACAACGGCTCCAAGAGGTCGGGGTGCAGCAACGGCTCCGTGCCCCCCGACCCGCTGCAAACGGTAACGTCTTTAAACGGTTACTCAGCGGTAGTTAACGTCTTTTAACCGTTACTCATATTACAACAACACAAATTATGTCTCCTATTCCATGAGTCTGCTGCTTTTGGCCAAAACTCAAATGTAAGTGCCTTGCAATTAAACAGATTTGAACAATTAAGCCGAATGATAAATTGTCCTTAATGGCAGTGACAGTACATACAATCGTGACATGGACTGAGGTTTAAATTAAGGGATTGAGGTTTAAATTAAGGGAATAACTATAACATTCACTTTATTGGTTTATTTAAAGGAAGTGTGGGCAAATGCTATTTTCCTATGTCATCCCAGCACAGGTGTTACTTGTTCACACTTAATGGTCACAGAAGCTAAAAAAGGTTTTAAAATAAGCATGTAAATAGGCAGTAATAAACGTGCTATTTACTAGAACCCTAATGATGTGTTGTACCATCTAATTAAGGACACAATACAATTAGAATGCAAAGGAAATGGGATTATGGGTTACAAACAGTAACATGAGTCCCTTTGTTTGCTGATGAGTGTAGTTAACCAGGTCCCATTTTTCTTTTTCTGCAGGAGGTGGAAATCTTGACTGCCCACTGGAACCTGTACATCAGTCTTGGGGGATTTTCTGTAGGCCTGTTTGTGGTGCCTCTGCTGGGCTCATGGAGCGACCTCGCTGGTCGAAGACCCGTCCTCATCCTCCCCAACATTGGCCTGGCCCTCCAAGCGGTGGTTTACCTGGTGGTGATGTACCTGAAGCTGCCTGTGGGCTACTTTCTAGTTGGCAGGCTGCTAAGCGGCCTTTCCGGGGATTTCAACGCCATCCTGGCAGGCTGCTTTGCATATGTGGCTGATACCAGCGACAGAAAGTCCCGCACCATCAGGGTGGCAATCTTGGAGGCTTGTCTGGGCCTTTCAGGGATGCTAGCCAGCATCATCGGAGGGCAGTGGCGGCAGGCACAGGGGTAAGAAATCTGTGTTTTTACTAATGATTGGACCATCTAGGATTGAATGCAGATAAAAATGCACAATCAAAAATCAATAGGTTTATCATGGTGAGTTTCCATTATAGTAATAATCATCGCAATATTTGTGGCAAGGATAATTGTGAAATTTAATTTTTCAATTGTCACATTAGAAAAAGAAGTATCATTCACAACATTTGACTTTCTTTCAAAATCAAATCTATTTAGATTGACATTCATTTCCATTAAATGTGTACCTCTGTTTTTAGGTACATCAATCCCTTCTGGCTCGTCCTGGCCACAAACTTGGCCTCGGCTCTGTACGCTTACCTGTTCGTCCGTGAGTCGGTCGTGCCTGACCCCAGTGCCAAGCTCCTCACTTCCCGCCACTATAAAGCTGTCTGGCACCTCTTCTCAACAGGAGGCAGTACCAGTGACGCCGGCGGGACATTTCACAGATGCAAGCTATGGCTTTACATGCTGTGTTTCTTTCTGGTGGTGACTGTACACTTCGGCAGCAGGGAGTTGTACGTGTTGTTTGAGCTGAGCTCCCCGCTCTGCTGGGGATCGGCCCTCATTGGCTACGGATCAGCAGCTCAGAACCTGGCCTACCTCAGCAGTCTGCTGGGGCTGAAGATCATGCAGCACTGCCTGGAAGACTCCTGGGTGGCTCTCGTGGGTCTGGCCTCCAACGTCATCGGGCTGGTGGTGTTCTCTGTCGCTGACACCACACAGCTCATGTTCACAGGTGAGAGAATCTGGAGTGAGGGGGATGATTTTGTTCTTGTTTTTCTATCTAAAATATTTTCTATTCTTGAACTAAATGAAGCAAAGAAATAAGTTATTCATCAAACATATTTACCCTTTAACATGGCATGAAGACATGATGTCGAGGACTACAAATCTATTTTAGGATTACCCCTTACAGTAAAATAGTAGATTCAGTATCAGAGTGTAGCATGTAGTAGATTGCATCAATGATTATCCATTTAATGTGTGTTTTACTCAGACTTAGCAGTCCTTGTGTTAGCAGACAACCTTGGATACTAGAACATATAAAACTTAGTAGTCACTTCTTGTACCCTGTGGGAATAATTAACATCATCTATAAAAGTATACCCGTGCAATGTAATGTGGATCTCAAGGATAGTAAAATGGTTGCACAATACTGTACCGCCATTTATGACAGAATAAGAACATACAGGAAGGATACATACATAAAAATGATGGAACATCATTTAAAACATTATCAATCAATGTGTTGTCCCCATTTCACAATGGACAGTATAACTTTTTAGCTGACACTTATCCTGTTGGAGGTCTTTATTGTGCATCAAAGTTCAAATGTGTTTCTGTCACCAGGTTACGGTCTGTGTTTCCTCTTCATGGCTGCGACGCCTGTGCTCAGGTCAAAGCTGTCCAAGTTGGTCGGCCAATCAGAACAAGGTCAGTCACTAAACATGCATAAATAATACTTGTGTTTTTAAACAGGTGGATTTAACAAGGCAAACTGCAAAGATTTCAAGATGTGATGATTGTTTTGAAGTGACTTGTTTTTTTCTCCTTTTTGTAATTGCACCAAATTGCTATTCTACAGTCTGGTTTAACTTGAACTGTTGTATTCATCATTGTGTGTTTTTACTTTCCCCAGGCGCCCTGTTTGCCTCTGTTGCCTGTGTGGAGAGCTTGTGTTTCCTGGTGGGCAGTGGCCTTTTTAACTCCCTGTACCCAGCCACGCTGCACTTCATGAAGGGCTTCCCCTTCCTTTTTGCTGCCATCATCCTCTTCATCCCTGCTGGAATAATCGGGTGAGTGTTGCCTTATTGAACTTTCTGTGGTTTTTCTATTAGTGAATTGGAGTCACAAAAGCAATTGTGACCAAAAAGCATATGACAAAAGAATAATTCCCACTTTGCAAAATTAGTCATTCACCATTTCCATGTGTGTTTTTGTAGGACCCTGCAATGTTTGGACCAGAGGAGAGACAACAGAGACTCCACAGCATCCTGACCTGAAGAGAAGCAGAGGGCAGGAACGTGTCAGAGAGCTAACGTTTGTCCTGGTGTCAGTCTATGAGGTGAGCAGCTCTGACATGCATCTGTCCATCAGCAGTGCTGGGAGAGACTGTAATCTCAACACAGTGATAGGGTAGCTGACTGTTTTTTAACTAGCTCAATGGAGGGATTCTTACTAGTGTCACCAAAGGGATCAAGACTTTAGGATGAAGAATCAACCTCCTGGCTGAAATGACTTTAAAACCGACACAAAGTGGAGAGGGGGATTTGTTAAATCTCTGCTGGCCAGTCTTCTGATGTCTCAACATGACATTTATACAAATGGTGAACAGAACAAGGTTCGTAGCACGTTTTATGTTGTGATTATATATATTTTAAATACAGTGTAATGTGTGCCAACGAAAATGCCTTATATTTCAATTTGAATGTATTAATAATACACACAACAGCTTAAGGTGCTAACCATAAGAGGAAAATCACAAACTCCTCAGTTGCTCCAAAACATTTCAAGCAAGGGTGCAACCAAACTATCAGCAATCCACAGCAGAGACAGTGAAATAGGAGCCGTAGCCGGGGGAATACCGGGTTACACTTTGACCCTCCTCGCTCCATAGTGTACACTCCCTGAAGAGTCCCACCACCACAAACAACACAGGATCGTCCCAGAGCACAGGCCTAGTGCCAGCATGCACACCGGGGTCCGGACTTATGCACAGAGAGGGAACAAGAGCTGCCAAATCATATTTAAAATGTTCGAAGGGAAGATAAAGAGGTACTACTGTGAATTGATCAACATGAGATTACTTTCTCAAAGCCATTATGCAAATGTTGGGGCAACAAAACTTTACCGACAAAAGGATCTATTTTTGTCCTATTTTTTGTCAATTGTGCAATATTTATTATAAGTTGCAACAGATTGAAATAGAACTTGATCATGATTTTCATAGTTTGTAATAATATGGTTAAATCTGTTTATTTCTGTTTACATGTCACACAACGATTAAGTGAGGATCAAATAAAGGATTTCAGTTGTTTATGTTTTTACAACACCCCTTTCATCATGTTTAAAATAAAGGGACCAAATTCTATTTTCATTCAAACATATTGTTGGTTTTTTTCATTTAATTTGATTCTGTTTATTACACTGAGGAAACAAGGATAACATAAAAATGGCAAAGCAGACAAATATTACTTCTCAGACTTAACACTGTGATCAATTAAACTTCAAGTCAGCAGTATTACATGATTAATGTTGTATCAGCACTCTACAAGCCACGCTGTAACACAGATGGGATCTTTTTCACATTCAAGAAGTAAACGGTGCATATTTGACTTCTGTGAGCTCATGTGTGTATAGGTTGACTACAGAGTAGGAAAAGATCCTTAAATACTGGGTTTTTCTGATATGGGTTTTTCTTGTTGCCTGTACACTGCTTGAACCTGTATTTGGTTAGAATAGGGATGCAGTTATACAACATGTAGCTTTTTATACAATACTTAATGCCTCTGGTTTATATTGAGCCCACTAGAGAAACTCATCAATTGACCACATCTCTTAGAACGTTTCTTAACTATGACAACTCAAACATAGAAGCACAAATGTCAGTAAAGTCAGAGACCTGCTTTGGTCATATGAATGTCCAATGTATGAGTTCAACAAAAAGTGATTGCATATGATTTGTGATTAGTAACTGCTTCAAAGATTGCTAGTGATGATTTTGCTGGGGTGCCAACAGCGGCTGATCTATCACAGTTATTTTCCTGAGAGACAGAAGGCATATACTGTACCTGATCACACATATACAGCAGAACGAGGGTATATCATTAAAGGCTTACAGTTTATTATATACAATCTGAAATCCCCTTTAGATTTTCATTTATTGTTTGCATTATACTATGTCAATTTATATCAGGGTTTTGTGTGAGCATAAACATAGTCAGATTCACTTCACATGCATATGCATATGGAGCAGGGGAAAGCTGCCGCCCTTTTCACCGTAGGCAATGTTGAATTTGGCATAATTTAAAGTCATTATAGCTGAAATCAAACTTCAAATGTCAGCTTATTTCTTTTTCTGCACTTCGGGTGCATCCTTGCAGTCGATTTGGTCTTGCTGTTCTTTCAGAAATCGTAGGATCTTCTCGATCGTGGCCTCCTGATATTCGTGGGACCATCTGTGTCAAGACAAAGGTAACAAGCAATTCAAACCTTAAGAAGAATTAAGCCCGGCATATAAAGCAGATAAGTTCTCTAATGGATGTTTTTACATGAATCACAACAACAATAAAAGCCTCGTATTCATGAAATATTCATTAAAGAAATAAGAGATTATTTAAAAGATGAATAATGCTGGCGTTAAACTGTAGTTTCACACAGCCACAAATCGAACTAAAGTGGCTGTTAAACCTTTTTTAAAAGACATATCCACCTCCTTATTAGTGAAGAATGAGTGATGTGAAAATGTGCTGTCCCAATTACACAGATGTGCTAACCAACAAAATATTTTTACAGTTAAGTTTTGGTTTATTTAAGTTTTAAGAGCAGATGACTCACTTGATGCCATTGAAATTGAGAATTGACCTCATGTCCTCGGGCAGAGATATGGGTTCAGGCCACATGAAATTATCCGTGACAGGAACTATGTTCTTCTTCCCAGCCAAGGCGGTGACTATCTCCTGCAAGGTTAATGAGCATTCCTTTGAGTCTATAAAAACTATAAAACACTCAAATGTTCGACAGATGTAAACAGGGAAGGGGATAGGGATTATGAATGTGACAGTACAAACAAAATTCCCTAGCAGCTAAAGTATCAATAGGAATCCAGAATACGATTAAGGTGCATGGGGGGGTGAAAGCTTCAAGCAAAATGTTATAAAATACAGAAAAATTGAAAACTTCCAACCTTGTGCACCCAATCCTTCATGTCAGTGTCACCCATGCACTTGTCGAGTGCATTGGAGGACAGGACCAGAATGAAGTTACGTGCCCGCTGTACGCTCTGGATCAGTTTGTCCTCAAATTTTCCGGCCTCCAGCTTCTCCACATCTATAAAGACGCTATATCCTCGGACCTGCAGGTGCACCTTCAGAAGGCTTGGGACAAAAATGAGAAAGTACATTTTGTTGCACGTACCTTCTCTCCTTACTCTAAATCTAATCTAACTAGAGCTGCAACAATTACACAACTAATCAATAAGATGAACTTAAAAAAAAACATCCCCATCTATCTTTTAAGTAATTTTTCATGCATAATGTTTTGAGTTAGAATTCTGACCTTGCCAGCTGGGAGCCAGTAGTCCGACGGTAGCTGATGAAGACGTCGGGCCCTGCAGGCTGAGCATCAGTTTGGCATGGTTTTAAGGGCTTGTTGTTAGCTGAGAGAATCTTGGCTCTGTGGACACCGTTGTCTATGTGGCAATCGTTCTGGAGCTGCTGATCCGTCAGGCTCTTGAAGTTATCGCGATCCACTCCTGACTGGACCAGTCCGTAGGTGTACTGCCGGAAACGAGGGTCAACCTCCACTAACCAGTCAGCCATGTTGTTTGGGTCACATGTGGAGTAATTGGCATACGTCTTCAACACACACAGGTCTCTCAGAAACCTGCAGGATGAGACAGAGCAGCTGTCAGACTGCTGTTACATGACTCATATGTTGAAGGGTTTGTGGCACTTGCCTTTTGCGACTGAGGCCTGCAGTCATGCCCAGATCATGGCACAGCTCCTGGTCTGTGATGTTCAGCAGGAGGTCTCCATCTACTTGGAGCTCCTGTACAGCAAACATGTTAGAAATGTCAGACATAGTGTATAATATGTAGATCTTAATGCCTATATTATCTCTCTGTTGAGTAATAAAACATACCTGGAATCGGTCACAGTAGGCACTGAAGCCGACCTGCTGCAGCCAGGTCCGCACTTCACAGGTTTTCCAGTTGGGCACACATGACAGGATGCGTCTTGGCACTTCCTCTCCCATCACACTCAGTGCCCGCTTGGCGAGGCCACAGGCTGTACCGTTACTGGAGTACATCACCATTTCTTTTAGGCTCTGCACTGCTCCAATCTCTTGAAATATCTTTAAATAAACACAAGGGTCCAAGGACAGAGCGAGACAAATATATTAGTATTGGGCTATATAAATAAACTTTGATTGATTGATTGATTGATTGATTGAGAAGGTAAAACTAAGTCACATAAAAGCTACCAGACAATTATACATAACATTTTGAGCTACATGTGGATAGTGATGGTACCTTAGTATTGCCCTGACGAGACTTGATGCTGGCCTCCACACAAAGGTAAAAGGCTGCAATGCACTTTCCTTCCAGTCTTGTGCCATCCAGTAATGGCAGAAAATGCTGCAGGTCCGCTGCTGTCCTGCCCTGCATGTTGTCTGAACTGTCCAACAAACTGCGGGCAAAGTCGTCCGGATCTAAAGATGCAATAAATGGCTCCACCAGCTCCAGGGTTCCAGATTTCACCACCTCTTTCTCAATTTCTTGGTTTGCAGCTAACACAGTCACAGCCAGACATGCGTGGAAGCGAATGATTTCATCCTCTTTGGAAAAAGCCAGAGGGAAAAGCCACTCAGCTGCCTGCTTCTCAATCATCCATCTCTGGCAGCGGTGGCCTCCGTACATGGCACAGTTTGCTAGTGCCACGGCACAGTGGCGCAGCACTGTGGGGTCTGTGCCGCGGCACCAGAAGAGGAGGGCATCCAGGGCCCCGTTAGAGATAAGGTGGACAGACGTCTCCTCAGTGTGTTTGAACATGTGCTCCAGGATCCCCGAGACACTGCGAGCCAGCTGTGCATCTTCCTGATGTCGAGTGAGGTTGAGGACGACCCCCAGACCCATACGGGCTACATAATCCCTGTCAACAGAAGTTTATAATATTGATATCAAATGTTGAGTAAGTCAATCAGACATCAAGACTTTCTGCTGTTAATGTAAACATTTAATGGATTCTCCTGCAAAGGTGTTTGCTTTTCAACTGTGAGGATGGGCTACTATTATTGTTTTGATGTCATGCTAACTGTGACCTCTATGACTTTTTTGTTGCCCTAGAATCAACATAGATATACAAATAGTAGACAAAACACTAACACTGCCTTTAAAATGTACAAGCCAATAAAAACAGCCTTGCTATTTTTGATAAACCTTGGTTATATATAGCTACAGTAGGCTATGTCCTGGCTGAATCAGTTGGCATAAACATATTGCCTACTATTGTATTGCATTGCAGGATTGTACATTGTTTGTGTTATTTTATCAATCCCTGTACACAAACGGATTGCATATTGTCCAATTAAGTAGGCTACTAAAACACACACAACACATAACCTCATCATACACTGAACCCGTCAAAAATAAAGTATTACAGATTTGCATATTGCAGAGCTGCTGTATAATACTGTGAAGGTTTAAAAGTAGCTTACCTGTTCTCTGAGGTCAGTATCTGCTCCAGCAGTTTTGCAGACTCATAGGTGATCTCCAGAGCAGGATTCTGCTGAAGCTGCAGCAGCAGCTCCAGGCCTCCATCCAGCCGGATCCTGTTGCAGATCTCCTCGGCCACCTGACGCCCTACAGTGGGCAAAACCCAGGCCTCCTCCACCAGCTGGAAGAGCTCCGCGATGGCCTTCCGTGTTTCATCTGAATCCGAGGTCTCGTGCGAGGACTTGAGCCTCTTGATGGCGCAGCGCAGGGCGGGGAGGGCGCCGTCCAGAACCAGCTGGACATCGGCTCTGACGCCCGGAGACACTGCTTTAGGCTCGGATCCGGAGCCGCTCCTCCCTCTCTGCAGCCGGCTGACATATTCCGGGACTGTGAGTCTTTCTGAGCTGAACATGATGGAGAAATGTCGATAGAGCCTCCACAGGAAGAGCGTCAGAGACAAGAGCATCTACCAGCAGAACCACGTCCGTTTCCGTGTATGAAATGTTTTACAAAGGCCTCTGGCAGTGGCGCGAGCCGTGAGCTTTTACCTAGGCCCTCTGACCCCCACCAATTCCCTCGAAAAAAAGAAAAAAAAAATAGTTATTACGTCACAGCGTATACTTCAGCGGAATATCAAAACAACGGCCCAGGGTGCAAAACGCATCAATGACAGCGACCCTCTCCCACACAAAACAACACCTGGGAACCCCATTTGTGTTCTTTGACATTGAAAATGATATTGCATATATATTTAAAAAATATATATTTTTTAAAAATGTTTTTAAATATTATTTTTTAGAATATCTTAGGCCCTGACAGAGGGCCTAGAGGGCCCTGACGGCTCGCCACTGCCTCTGAGAGATCTGATGCCTCGGAGAAATGCGCCAACCAAGGCCTGATATCAGATGTAAATCAAAAGTGACAGCTTTCACCAATTTGCATCACCTCTCTCTGGTCGATGTCATCCCCGGCAGTAATCTGTAAACACTGATCAGCAGATCTCGGGCAGGTCACAGTAAACCTGCTCATAGTAAACAACTGCTTCTTTGTCTCTTTTTTCCACACCGACCAGAAAACGACTTAAAGCGTTGACAGAATCGAAGGGTCTTAAAGAGGCAACTCCTCCGCACCTCACAAAAAAAGTGGAGAGCCAATCCTCCTTGTTTCCTGGAAAATAAAACAGACTATTGTTGTCTGTGTTTGCAGACAAAGAAGATCTGTTCAGATTTTCTCCCACCTTTTCTAACGCACTGTAGCGGCTCGTCTCCCTGCAGAAATACAAAATATATTCACACTCTGTAGTGTCTGCACCTATCGCATCCTCTGGTCAGCATCCACAGGCTATCTGTATCTTCAGGGGTCTGCACCGCCCACCGGCTCCGGATACTTCCCGGGATGAACAGGAAAACAAGTACCCCCCCATAGACTGTATATATAAAGGTACCCCCTCCTCTTTGGCCCACAGCCGGTCACAGCTCTGTATGCTCAGGGATGTAAACACTGCAGGCCCCCTGCTGGAGGAACAGGAGAATAACCTCTGATTCAAAGCTCAAAAACTCCTAAAATGTGTTTTGCAACATTTCCGAGAAGACAATTAGCTCATACTAAATGTTTAATCAATGCCGTACCGAGCACTGGCACAGTTAAATATATGTATTGGAAAATAAAGAGATAATATGATACAGGTGCAGTACCACAAAAGTAATAAATATAATTCTCTCAATCAAGAAATCCATGCAAGCTTTACCCATATCTTTTGGCCATGTGAAACGTAAATGTTCCATTATTTTCTTGTTAGATTGGAAATTGTGAAATGTTAAGTGGATCCAGATATTAATTAATTAGTTGTTATGCCGCATGAGTTATGAATAAAAAAGAATGCATGTTTAGCCCACTTGGAATTTTAAAAATAACTCGTTTAAAAGTAATCACAATAATTATTAGGAAAAATATGACAAAATAAATTGAAAGCATGGAGAAAATCACATGGTTGCTTGAGACAAAATTGACTGTTCTGAAACCAGACAGAGGACTGTGATTCATGATTGAAATCATGGAGGCAACACGTGGAGGGAAGTCAGCTGACAAACTAATCTTTAATAGATTCAATAATAAAAATGTCCCTTCATTGCAGTGTACCATTTTAGACCTTAACATTGGGAAATAAATCCAGCAGAATATGGAGTAAAACTTAATAAATAAAAACAATTCAGAGACTTTGTTTCTGATGTCAGCCCTTATTTTTTCTGGGTAGAACGTTTTAAATAACAACCCTGGCTGCAGCCCTGATTGCTGTGATTGTAAAATGTCATTAAGGCAAATATAACTGCTACTTTCACAATACAAATTATAGTTCAATCATACACAGGACAAGGATGTCTGTTGTCACGCTTTCATGCTGCTGTAAAATGCTTTTACTAGCTCGTAACCGCATGTTAAACTGTTTTATTAGGTGACACAGCAGGTACTTTGCTTCCCTCTCTGTCTTCACTGAGGCCTCACATGCAAGTTACATGCTACATTCAGGTTTAGTCTTTTCCTGAAAGCAAGTAATGAAACAACACACATTCATGTTGTTCCCATAAGCTATGCTTCAGCCCTCCCGCTTCTACTAATTTTGTTCATTTTGTGTGTATGAATTATACTTCTTTGTTTTTGTATGAATTTAGTAGAATAAATAAAAATAAATGTTGTTGGATAGAAGCATTACTCAAACTGAAGAGAGAGACCTCTGCTCTGTGATCACTATAGGACACAGATTTGAGTAGAAACTCTAAAGCAACAGGGTCAGAGGTCACATTTCCTATCGACTTCTTTCTCTCTGTTTATTTGCTCCAATAGAAAGACGTTTGCAAATAAGGTTAGAGTAAACAAGGAAGCGGGGTGACTGACACATGTTTCCAATTATTGTGAGCATGCAGTGCTTCATTATTTCTTCATTCTGTCCTCTCACTCCGCAGAGACAACATGAGGCTGTGGGCCTTCCTGCTGCTCGCTCTGACCGCTCTGACTTTAGCGGCAGATGGTAAGTACAACTTTAAAAATCGCTTTTAAAGTTCAGAGAAGTGTTTGTATTCATTATTGGGAGAAATGTTACTGGTTGTTTTTCACTCTTGGTATAGTTTAATCGTGTTTCAGTAAGACCCGATAATGGGCCTTTTCTGTGTGTCCTGCTTACTAGTATACAGTGTTGAATTTAAAGCGTTAACATTTAACAACATACATATTTTTTGTTTATTTTACTATCAAAAAATTACACACATGTAAAGCTTTAGTCAAGACTGCTTCTAACAGGTAAATCATTATCAGTAAATCTAATGATTATTTCTCAAATTAATACATGAATTGTTTAGTCTAAAAAATTGTGAAAAATATGGCACTAATGACCAGAATACAAAATTATGTCTTCAAATTGCTCATTTTGTCTGAAACCAAGCCCAAAAAACAATTTTTTTTCAACATCTTCAACTTTATTAAACTTTAAAGAGCAGCATATTTTCATATTTATTTAATGTTTGCTTGATAATTGACTTTACAATTTAGCCAGTTCCAAAATAGTTGATATCTTTGAATCAACTACTAGTTTCTGCATTTATTACAATTATCAATACAAATAGGATACTATAGGCAGCCACTTAAAATGTTGAGATAAAAATCTGAAAAACTATGAATGATAATGGACAACATATTCAATTAGTCTTTGTTATTGACATGCTGCCAACGCCTTATATTTAGTTTAATCTCCAACACGGCAAATTCATTTGGTCAGAGGTGCAAAGAATACTGAATAAAACTATTTCTAATTTCTTTAACGCTGTCATTTCATCTTCAGAGTCGTGTATGAGTCGCTGTGAGAATGGCTTTAACTCAGAGAAGACGTGCCAGTGTGACTCAATGTGCAAATATTACAACAGCTGCTGCTCTGACTTCGAGGTCTATTGTGGCATGATGAGTAAGAAACCCCTCTTTAAGATACACTAATGTTGTGAGACAAACATTTCTGGTGAAATAAAAATCTGTTCTATATTTGCTCTTGTTTAACATTTAAATTAATCTTACTGTGCTTATGTATGCACCATCATACATCAAAGCATATGTGTATACCTACGTGGCAATAAACCAAATTCTGATCCTGAAAGTTGTTCATTATTATGACTTCCCATTCTCAGCTCGTGGGGACACGTTTGTGTTTGCAGAGGATGATGATGATAGTGAGCTTCTTCAAAGCACCACTCCCACTCCCTCGCCTCAACGCTCATCCCACAGTCTGTCCATCACTGCTACCGATCGCAAGCTGAAGCCCACCGAGCAGCCCATCTCAGACTTTGGTCGCAGACAACAGGAACAACATGAAACAACTCTAGAAATGACCAGACCCCCTCGACTGATGGAAACAATACTTCAGAAAATCCCTATAACACCCGTATCGAAGATAGTGGCGACTGCACAGATAACAACTGAAACCCCTGTGACTGAGGCAGCAGTTGAGACCACCACCGGCCCCGTCACAACAGCCACCACCGAAGCCCCCGACCCAGACGCTATGGCCTGCAGCGGGAGGCCTTTTGACTCCTTCATGCAACAAAAAAATGGCTCAATATATGCCTTCAGAGGTGAGTGATCCCTTCATATTTAAATGTAGAGAGTGCAACTTCAAGCGAGCCATATTGTGCAGCTGTACTAATGACTGAAGAGGTCCACATTTGTATTTGTTTCCTGCCAAAACAAACAAAGCCTCAACAACAGATTTGCCAGTAATGGTCACATGTTGTTCCTGCCCAGGGCCTAATTCAATAAAAAAAATAAACTGCTGTGTCATACTGGAAAAACAAACCCCTTAATATCCGCCTAATAATAATGAATCCTATCCTTTAAGAAGAATATGCTTTTGTTGGCATGCAGTGCATTTGAACTCTGTTCTAGTTTTTGATAATTGTGTTTCGCTTCATTACATTTGTATAATTCTCATTCTTTTAAACATCACCTATATGTAATTAGTATTTTACTTAATTGTATGCAGAGTGTTGTCTGGCTCTGAACTGAGTATGAATGTTATTTTATGTTTTTTAATCCAATAACTGTTATAATGTAATGTGTTGGACCCCAAGAAGATTATTGGAATCCTTTTCTGTCGCGGTGAAACACACTTGTGACCTTCTGTGTTTTTTTTCTAGGGGAATACTTTTTTGAACTGGACAAAAAGACTGTTCTTCCTGGTTATCCAAAGCTCATAAAGGACGTGTGGGGCATCAGCGGGCCGATTGATGCTGCCTTCACCCGCGTCAACTGTAAAGGGAAGACTTACATCTTCAAGGTGAGGACTCAGCAAAGTATCTTGTATTAATAAATCATGTTGCACATTTCCTTTGTTTTGCTTTGATAATAATTGTATGTATTAACACAAAACCTTCCTCAGGGAAACAAGTACTGGAGGTTTGATAACGGTGTGCTGGATGAGGACTATCCTCGAGATATCAGCGTGGGCTTTGACAAAATTCCCGATCATGTGGACGCAGCGTTTGCTCTGCCGGCTCCTGGTCACAATGGAAAGGAGAAGGTCTATTTCTTCAAAGGTACTGATAATAAAATAATAAATCCAGGTATATTCTGTATAATCTTCGGTTTTTGAACATATGGAAAGAAAATCTCACTTGTTCCTAATAACAGGTAGCAATCATTTACCTAATGATAGGCAAACATATGCCAGGTTATATTACTTCTTTATGAAAACATATTTTAAATGTATTATGAAATAGAAAAAATAACCTTGTGAATTAAAAAATAAAGTGTATATCTTTTCAATAAAGCATCTTGTTGGTTTCTCCAGGTGATCAGTATCACACATACGAGTTTCTGCACCAGCCATCCCATGATGAGTGCATCACCATGTCAGAGAGCTCTCCGCCCCTAATGTTCAGACGCTACACTGACGTATACTACAACAACTACGAACGTGTCATCAGCGAGCTGTTCTCTAGCTGTAAGTTGAGTCAAATTATAGATAATGAGATGCAGATGTAGATGCACGTGTTGCTACAAGCTTACCGTTTTTTTCTTCTCTTCTCTAGCGCCTCAGCATCACGACAAACACCACTTCATTGACAAGGACTGGAAGGGCCTCAAGTCTCCAGTGGATGCTGTCATGGCTGGCAGGATGTACGTCCCTCCAGTGAGGCCCGCACGACGCCGCAACGACTACCAGCCTGGGCAGCCTCGGAACCAGCAGAACGGGCAGAATTACCAGCAGTACGGTCAGCAGTACGGTCAGCAGTACGGTCAGCAGTACGGGCAGCAGCACGGGCAGCAGCACGGGCTGCAGTGGGCTCATAGGAGGCAGAGCCGTTCCCCCTACTGGGGCTCCACGGCTGAGCAGGGGATGAACATGGGCCAGGGCTTTGCAGACAGGGGGATGGACATGGGTCTGAGGTTGGCAGAGAGGGGGTTGGAGATGGAGGAGAGACTGGGACGAGACTGGAACAGACAATGGGATCAAGACTCGGACCAGGACAGACGGAGAGGCGGGACCCGGCAGAACAACAGAGGCAACCACGACTCCAGAAACGTTGGGTCCGTCTCCAGGAGTCTGCCCATACAGAGCGTCTACTTCTTCAGAGGAGGTTGGTGCACTTTTAGATTAATAAGAGTCATAACAAACTATTTAACAACATGAATTCTCACACAAAAGCCTTTGTCTTGTCTAAGTTGAAATGTGGGCTTGTTCCAGATAGATGAAAGAAGACCTGTCTGGGATGAGTTCCAGAGAGAAGACTGGAACTCATTCAAATATTATTTAATCAAACTTTCCCACAGAAGGTTTATGTAACTGTGTTTTGTATTATGCTGCCAAACAACATAAGAAATCGCCTGCAGTGTATTTCAGCCTGCCAGTATTTTTATGAGCCGTTTTATGATTCACCAAAAACAAGAAAAAACAAGTATAAAGGAATCCTTTGATTAATGCTGACGGCTATGACAGATCCAAAGTACGGTTGATTTATCTTTACCAATTAAGTGTGCTTTACGTAACACAAAAATGACAAGCCCGGCCTGAACATGTGCTGCTCCAGAGAGTGGAAATGAATGAGTTGTTTTCTGTGTTTTCTAGAGTCGTACTACAGAGTGGACCTGAAGACCAAGAGAGTGGACCCAGCCTCGCCTCCGTACCCCAGATCCATCGCCAAGTTCTGGCTCGGCTGTTCAGACACCACCGGGGCAGAGAAGTAGTTGCAAAATGTTTTGTTATTTTAATATGACCACTAGGACTACATTTGTATATAACTGATTATTCATTTTGCCCTGAAACTGGCAGTGTTGGCTTCTTGTAAAGTGTGACACTAAACGAACCGCTCGTCAACTTCAGCAAACATTGGAGATCAATGAAGGTCCAACACTGCTGCTCTTCACCGCCGTAGTGTTTTAGCATGTCCAAAGTTCAATTGGTGGATTAAGGTTATCTCATCTGTTCTCAAAATCAGCTGACCGACTTAGTTAAACAACTATAAGGACTATAACCTCAATTTGGAAATCCAGAAGAGATTGGATACTCTAGTATTATTCTACAGGTTTTCTGTTCCCATGTCTTTGTTTTGGGGTTTATAATATTCAAGAAGTTTGTTACATTCATTCCAAAACCAACACAGATGGTAAATCAGGGACTTTTTTTCTAAACCATGTATCTACACATGTTTATTTTCCATTGTTTAATCATAAGCATACAGTAAATAACACAATATAAACAGGGTTGATGAGACTTTTCATCCACAAAGGGGTCATAAAAATGTGGCACGTGGTCGTACAACAATCGTAACAATCTCTAAAAATGCAATAATGGCGGTTTATGCTAACAGCAGCATTGTGTAACTGCAAAGGTCAGAGAGCAGCGGCAGATCAGACTTTGACTAGAGGTCGTAGAAAACATTGTTACAATTATAGTTTTCTGATATCTAAGGGCTAGTGTAAGAGGGCAAAATATAATTCCAAATCATACTACAATGACAAAGCAACCTTGTTTACTTTATATGTTTTTTCACGGATCTTTGAACAATGTATTTGATCAGCATATTCACAACCTGTTCCAACTTGTACGATAACAAATAAAAACGTCATATATTTAAAGTATTTGTTTTGTATTATTCATCTTTCAACCTAAATGATACATTTGATACGTTTTAGTATATATTCTGGAGGCTATGTAAAGGTATATTTTTTCATCATAAATGCTTTGTAAACCTTAAATCATGTAATACTAGAAAGAAATAATTCAAGAGTTTTCTCTTTCGTGCCTGTAACATTGTAATGAGTTGACAGAGTAATAAATAAGCAGTCCTGTTGAATCAGAGCTGCTGACAGTTTCTCTGAGGTCATGTGTGTTTAATTATGACATTTTCATAGCAGGGCTCGTCATTCACACTGACCACCGCTCCTTCGTTGGCGATGACCTCAGTGAGACTCTCTGCATCTCCTGCTGCTCCCACGGTCAGGTAGGGGCCCTCAGTTTTTCCCGAGGTGGGGTCGCCGCCCTCCACCCTCAGATGTGACCCTGAGTCAGCTAAAGCCAGCTCTGGCACGCTCTTCAAAATGGACGACAGCGGCCTTTTTGGAGTGCCGCTCTCTGAGGATGTGTCGTTCGCACCAGCTGTGTCAGGGGTGTTAACAGAAGCATGCTTTCTCCTGATTGGCTTACATATTCCTACTTCCCCCGCAGGCGGCGCCCCCTCCTCCCACACGCTCGCCCGCGCTCCCAGCTTCCTCCTGGGGGGTTTGACGATAGCTTCTGCTCCTTTGGGCTTGGGCCTGCTTACCTCCTGCTCCCTCTGTCTCTGGAGGCTTCCGATGCGCCGCAGCATGGCCTGAACGGGACCCTCAGAGCTCGTCTCCGTCTTGGACACGGGCCTCCCTGCCTTACCCACTGTCACATACACCGTGGTGACCTTATTTAAGACCCCCCCCTGAGCATCAGAGGCAGGTGTCGGCAGCTGGGTCCCTTTATGAGCAGCTGTGTTGGACATAGTCCTCCTTCGTCCTGAGGCACCAGGGACCTGCAGGGTGGTCCGGGAAGCGGTCCTGTCTACTTCCTGGTCCCCTGCATCGTAGTTAGTTTCCTCATATTCTGTCTCCTGCACATCCCCATCATCGTCACCCTCATGGTCCTCAGCTCCATCTTCCTGCGCAGTTTTAGAGGCACTTCCTTGACTTTGGAGAGCAGACAGCATCAGAACACCCCAGGGTGACTTGGGTTTGTTTCGCAGGTGACCAGGGAGAGCGCCGGGGTCCTGAGCCGAGCCACGCCTCTCTTTGGGGCTGAAGCGGGTCCCCTCTGCAAAAGAAACAGAAGGCCGCTTGGACTTGGCGATGCTGGAGGTGCGAGGGATGTTGAAGGGCGAGGTGATGTCCTCACAGCTGAAGCCGGAGGGGTCCATGAACATGTTGCACTTCGAGCTCATCTCGTGGAACTCGCCACCCGCCACCGAAAGGAAGTCTGCCAAAGAGAGGGAGAAAGAAAAGTAGGGCGACATAAGAGGAGATATTCTGCTCATTACAAAAGTATTGCAGTGTGAAGTCTGTCCCTGTTCCTACCTTCTCTGGGAGGGACACAGTAGAGCGCCTCCCCTTCCTCCTCATCACTGTCGAAGGACGACCCCTCCGTCACCCAGCCAGACGACGGAGGCTCAATGAAGCTGTGGTTGAACGTCAGCTCTGGGTCATGGTGAGACACTGTGTGTGAGAGGAAAAATTCAAAAGATAATCTTAGTCGAATCCATACATGGCTTGTTCTACAGTATACTAAAAGGTTATGGCTTTTAAGGTAAGGTTTGAAGAGACACCTTTTTTTGCACTGTTATATTTTCAGTTTGATGTAAAAAAAAAAAAACTTTCATAATGAAAAGTGTGTACATGTTCTGTGAAATTTGGGTAACAAATGTATTTTTATTTCCATTTTCCTTAATAACTAAATCAAACCCTGCTTGAATATTTCACAAATCCAGGAACAGCTGGACTTTTTGACTAAAAACAGCATCATGTTTTATGATAAATGTATCTATTTTATTTGATTCCCAAGAGGCTGTATAAACACACTTGATCTGTAAGTCAAGAACTAAGTGTTGTAAAATGTTGTTCAACTAAGGGCTGTAACCCAGAAGAAGAAGCAAACTGATGATAAACAGTAACTGGTTGAGCAAAGCGACTCAAATTTGACAGCATATCATGCAGTCATTCCTCCACAGAAAGTAAACCACATTGTCCGTCACAATGTAACTGAACTCTTAAAGAGAATAGGTTATTCTTTGTGAATTTCAGAAAGGTCCATCTTGTCCTTTGTCTTCCTTAAATATATGTGCAACTTTTGTATGTAGAGTTACAGTACACAATCCATGAATTACAATGTATCACTGTTTTATGCAGCATGACACTATAAATGCTGCAGGACTGACCTGTGACACGGGGCAGGCCAGAGGACCAATCAGAGATACAGGGCAGGGCCGCTCCGATGTTGGCCAGGACGCTGTACACGTGATACTTCATCCGGACTGACCAGCCTCCCTCAGCCACAGTCGCCCTGGAAGAAGGAACGTTTATATTGTATGAATTGAACACTATTGCACAGAATGCACAGTGCCCTCTCTGTATTGAATTTCTTTCAATCGGGGCTGGCATGATAGCAGATTCTGACTACACGATTATTGTGGCCAAAATAATTCAAGGTAAATATTGTCCCAATATATTGAAAACATTTGAAAATAATTTAATAATAAAAAATACTTTCAGTCAAATTCATCTCTGACGTTTTCGGCAAGTCAGTTAAATCCAAATGAAAGTGTAGGGAGGCATAGAGAGACTACCATAACTGTAGAAATGTGTACAAAAAGAACAATTACAGTAATGGTTACTGAAAAGGCCCCAAACCTTTAACACAATATTATCATATAAAAGTAAATGCCAGTACATGGAGGCACTCCTACTTTCCACCATTAAAACTGTCATTATTATACCAAATTACACAATCTAAAAAATATATAAAGTTAAAAAAACAGAGCTTGTTTCCTTGAGCTGTAGAGGGACAGGCTCACAGTTCAATGGTGGTATGTGAAGTGAACACACTATTGATAGGGAGCAGCGAGGTACAGACCTGTCTTTGCCCCCGGCAGGAGCCCCTCCACAACACAAACAGCAGCAGAGCACAGCGAGGAGCAGCAGGAGGAGAGGAACCAGCACACCTGCTATCACTGCAGCCCTGCCACCTAAAACACACACACACACACACACACACACACACACACACACACACACACACACACACACACACACACACACACACACACACATGATAAAACCTTTTATTCTATTTACCTATCCATGCACTAGATACACAAATGTATTTTGATAGACATATGGATGGACGTACTGTTGGGACACACTCCAGTGACTGGGTCGCAGCCGCCCCCCTCCCCACAGTCACAGGCGGAGGAACAGTTGAAGCTGAACTGCAGGGCGGGGCAGCTACTGTTACAGCTGGGAAATATACAGAGTCATGCAATTACATCACAGCACAGAAGTAATCCTATGCATGAACACTGAGTCATTTTCTATTTCAGTGTGCAGTGAAAAAATACTGCTATAAACATACTGTGTCTTAAAGAAGAAAATTAAAGGGACCATAACTGTTTGGGGTCAATGAGCATCAAATTTGAGTGGGCCTTTACTTGGTTAGAGACTCACACATTTGTCTCAGTTGAAATATTTGCACATACATCTATCATATGCTCCAACAAAGGCCTTTATCATCAAACATATCGGACATTTTCAGGTTTTATAACTCAACAGGCATGACTTAAAAACCCAACATAGAGTAAAACCGTTTGAACATTATGCTCACCTTTCTCCTGTAAAGCCGGGCTGACAGACACATCTTCCTGTCACACGATGACAGTTACCATGGAAACATGGGCTACACAGGAAACCACAGGCGTCTCCAAACGTCCTGTTAGTGCAGGCCTCCTCGCACCTGGGCGAAGGGAACAAGGACATAAATAATCATTTTACACGCATTTCCCATCTTTAACCTTTATCTCACTACATGTAAAACTGTTTAAACAGATTTCCACTATTTTATGGATATTGTCGTAGAAATCTAAGCACTAATGGACATTGCAGGCAGAAAAAAGGGCATGATTGTCCATCTTTATCACACACTCACTCCCAGTTTTATAGTTAAAACACACACTATAATGCTGGTCACTTCAGGAATGTGAAGATGGGAGCATAGATAAGATCAAGAAGCAAACGTCTTCAAACATCATACCATTAGTTCTGCATAGTACATTCACTATAAACCTTGTTACCTTTAAGTTACAGCCAACAATAAATGGTTTAAATAAAACATCATCCAGACCTGGGACCAGTCCATCCCGGATCACACCTCCAACAGTTCCCAGTTTTTGGGTCACAGGGTTCGTTGTTCCTGCAGCGTGGACACTCCTCCAGGCAGCCGTCACCATAGGAACCAGCCGGGCACGTCCGGTCGCATCGTGTCCCGTTCCAGCCGGACTCACAGGCGTCACAGGCGCCGTCAGTGTCCGAGCAGGGCCGGTGGTCTCTGCAGAACCCACAACTGAGGACAGGAGACGACAGAAAGAGATTCATAGGTGTTCAAAGGGGACATATCAGGCTCATGATCAGGTTCATACGTTTGGGTTTGTACTAGAACACGTTTACATGCTTAAATGTTTAAAACAATGACATTATATATCTCATACTGTCTATCTTAAAATATTAACCTTTGTATCAAATGCTTTGTGTTAGCGCATGTCTCTTTAAGACCCCTCCCACATGTCCAGTCTCTCTGATGGGCCAGCATTTTCCTGTTTCATGTCTCTGCACCTTCATAACAGCAGAATGACTGAAACAGCTTTGTAGGAACACTTTTCTACGTAGTATAGTGTATCTTGTTCTCTTGTTGCTGGTCACTAGAAGTTACCAGACGCAATTTAAATGTATTCATACAACGATAGTAAAGTATCTTGAATCTTGTGATATCAAAACCTTACAGAAGTTTTTGCAGGCCACACATATATATCCTTTTGCAGCACATCATGCACTTTTATTCTCGGATGGGAATTTTTTTATGTATGTCAGCTTATTATTTTTAACGTTTCTCATATACTAGTTTTTATCTTATATGCTTGTTTGTATGTATAGTTTCGTAATATTTAAGTGTGGAGGGCTGAGCGTAAGTATTTCACAGTACAGTCCCTGTTTAAAACTGTATATGACAATAAAATATCTTGAATCTTATTGTGGGCTGTGTACATTTGTATTGTGAACTCCATGGATTGATAACATTGATTCTTTAAAAGTAATAATATAGCACAAATACAAATACATTAAATATTACTATTTACAATATGGCATTTTGAATCAAAAAGCTATATCTACACAAACCTCCTTTTACAGCCACTGCCGTATTTCCCAGCTTCACAGGGCTGGTTGCAGTAGACCCCCTGGTACCCCGGCTGGCACAGGCACTGTCCAGTGTTCGGGTCACAGGTGCTGTGTGTGAGGTCACAGTTACACCTCCGGTCACAGCTGGGCCCCCACCAGCCTGCCTCACACTCACACACACCTGTTCGCTGATTACATTGGGACAGGTAGCAGTTGCAAGCGACGGGACATTTCAGCCCCCAGTGGCCCCTGTTGCACTGACACCGGCCTGTCAGCTGGTCGCAGCCGGGACCTGCAGACCCCCCGCTGCCGCACTGGCACGGCTTGAAGCAGGTGGCCGTCCACCAGCCCTCGTCACAGGAGCAGTTCCCGTGGACGGGGTGGCAGTGGCCGTGCCGGACGCACTTGCAGGGGGACTGGCAGAGCGGGCCCCAGCGGTTGGGGTTGCAGGTGCACTCTCCGGTGACGGGGTGACAGCGGCCGTGAGGGAAGCACTCACACACCTTGCGACAGTCCGCAGCCCAGAACTCACCGGGACAGCCTGGAGACAAATGAACAAACACAGAATAATACAACACCAATACTGCACTTAAAGGTATCCTATTATACTATTTTTAGGCATATATTATAGGTCTCAGATATATAAAAATATGTCTATGAAGTGTTTTGCTCAAAATAACAGATCACCAATTCTAGCCATGCCTCATACCCCTCTATTTCAGCCCTGTTAGAGAAGTGCTGATTCTGGGTCGGTAGCTAAAAAAAAAAAAAAAAGGAGGGGGAGCTTATGCAGGAGAATTCTACCGGCAGATACTCAGCTAAATGCTGCCGTGATGAAACGCCATATCATGTTCAAAACCACATCAAGGATTATTTCTGAAACAGTATGGAGCTCAAATGCTTTTTCTCTTGCGGGTTCACCACAAGGTGAGTTCCTTTTTTTTATTTCCTGCTTTTTTACACATACTCTCTCCAGTACAGCGTTAGCTCTGAGTGTTAGCGATGCTTGCTAATGTAAACAAAGACCATATTACTTCCAAAACGCTTTGCGCATTGTTTCTGATAGCCCCCCGTTTTTAGAGATGTGGGTACGGAGGAAAAGAGAGAGGGTTTTGTTTTCAGACACTTTGTGAGTTCCCTTACACACCGGGGACAGATATTTATATATAGAAGACATAAAAAGTGCATTTTGCATGATAGGAGACCTTTAATACTTTCGTATAGGGATGGAATTCAGTCAAGTCCTGTTTTTAGTAGAATTTTGAGTTACTTGTGCTCAAATTGACTAATTAGATTGTATGATACTTCAAACATGTCAAGGATAAATATTGTACTATTTACTCCAGTCAATTCATATGTTTGTTTAAATAACTAACTATGTTGTGATCATTGTATTTGCCAAGTTGAATGTAGAGCTAAGTTAAATCTGGCTTTATGTTGTGGCATGTGCATAGAAGATATTTGTACACAATTAAGGTTTATTTATGGTGTAGTTTTTGAGTGGTCTGTAACTGAAACATTGTTACTCTGTATTTATTTTTCAGTTCTACAAAAAAGTATGTATGGATACGTAGAGAGGAAAAAGGAAAACTAAATGGAACATTAAAATGTATCTCTCATGTTCGAATTCTTTGATCTTCTTGTTAGCTCTAAGTTTTTATGTAGATGGGACATGCATTAGGGACAGAATAATAGCAAAGAGTAAGTTAAAAAAAACTTTTGAAACAATCTAACAATGTGCTAATACCCATATACTGCATGGATAATAACATATAAGTCATCGGAGCAATTGCTCTGCATAAAAAGCTATTTATTTTTAAATACATCGAGCTGTACTTTTTGCTTCAGTAGGACAAATTCAGCACCTCCAGTCATAAAGGGGTATTTTCACATGGAATATAAAGGTTACATTGTTAAGATTTGAATACTTTCTATATAGGTTTCATACAAGAAATTAACTTTAGTAACATTCGGCGGCAATGACTTATGTTATTGTGCTCAAATATTCACATTCTCTAAAACTAACACAGACATTAATAAATCAATGCTCCAATTGTTTCTTGCAACTCACGTGTTTTACAGTGAGCTCCGAAGTAGCCAGGGGGGCAGCGACACACCCCGGGATACACACAGGTCTCCTCCTTTAGACAGGCCTGCTCACCCTCACACACAGCTACACACACACACACACACACACACACACACACACACACACACACACACACACACACACACACACACACACACACACACACACACACACACACACACACACACACACACACACACACACACACACACACACAATACCAGTGAATGAGACAACAGGAAAACTAATCCAATATGGAGGCAGTAAAAGCATAACTCCTGCAGATTGTCGTCCATAAGAATAGTTAAAACTCACGTAAGGTGCACTCTGTTCCCTCTTGACGCCACCCAGTGCAACAGACCAGGGTGGAGGGGTCCCTGAATATACCAAAAATAATCAGCCTGACAAATCTGAAACTTAACAAAACTCCAGGAAGAACCGACTAGCAATAGCCTGATAAAACAATTAATAGGAGAAAATTTACATTTTAGCCGTCTAGTTCAATCCTTAACTCCTTGAAAAATACCTTGGCTGTAAAGGTTACAATTTGTCATAGTATTATTATAATGCTTTTTTGTGAAGTTGTACCTGATATTGTGGCAGACGTTTTTCCCAGCAGGATCCAGTGTTTGTGAGGAGGACAGCGAGCAGCAGAGCAGAGCACTCAGAGCTCCGAGGAGAAGCTTCATCTCCACACAAACTCCGTAAATAAAACCCAGGAACCAAATGTCTTTCTGTCTCTTTATGTCCAGTATGTCCCTGACTTTCCTCTCAACTTGCTCTGCTTCCAGTCAGAGGCAGTGTCTCTCTTGCTGTGTGCCCTCCACCCTTCCCTGCTCCTTCCTCTCCTGTGAGTCGTCTTGTGGCTCCACAGCAGCCAAAGAGGTCAAAGCCCCCAGGTTTCCTCTTCCCATTTCCTGGGGAAGTCAGAGCCACTTCCTTCTATTCAGCCAGACACAGAGAGTTTTAAAGATGGTCGAACACTAACACATGAAAATCGCCGCACACACTGGTGGGGGCACGTAGAAATGCAAACACCCAACCCTGAGGTTTCACCTTTTCCCAGAATCTATTGTTGACAGTCATTCAGGAAATGATGAAGAACGCACTCCTTATAAGTCTGGACCAAAGATAATCATGTCATCACTTCTGCTTTCATTCAACAGCAGTAACAGTTAGTGCACAGTGCCAATTGAATCAATTGAATCATGGGAAAAAATGGGTAGAGATCATTTTTATATTCAATACAATTCTGTGTTTATTGGATTGAAAGGTCAGTTTTCATTATCACAGTCTGAATTGTTCTACATTTCATCAATAAAATATTAAATATTTTTGTCAGCAACGACATGCTTACAAAAATTGATTGTGAACAAAGCATTTTAAGAAAACATGATTTGATTGGAAGGTCACATATTGTCTCAAATACACCACTGGTCTGTCATTGTCTGAGCATTTTATGGTCACACATTTAGACTGAGCAGACGGATTAGATGTGGTTACTTTAGGGTAACTAGTCAGCAAATGGTGGTGGAAACTAAATGTGCTATTAACTAACGTAACCAATCTGCAGCGGCTGGTACATCAGCCACAATGAACGCGTTTACTCACACAAATACACACACACATTTATGGCACCGGCATCAGGCACACACCAGCCAAATACTTTGAGTGGTGCAATGACTGAAATTGAGAAAATATATATTTAACAATACAAGCATTGAGTTAAGGCTTAAGGGATTAAAGTGTACTCAATGCTGGAAGTGTCTGGTAATGTGACTACAGTTTTCTTTGCTTGTTCTTGAGCATGAAAGTACTTTAAAACATTAAAAAAGTACACAAGTAAAATCTTCCCTACTGAGGTAAAGTTACATAACAGCTTCATGGTGAAATCTTGATTGTTAGTTATAAAAAGAAACAATGCCCTCTTGTGGAAGTGAGGTGAACTTAAAATACTATTTTCAATAACACAGGAGAGGAAAAAGCTAACCTTGTAATATCTTTGGTTTTTGTAAAAATAGTTTCAGGATCTATATAAATATTTATGTGTAATGCCAATTTTCCTCTACGCTAAAGGATAAAAGGACTCATACAACATTTTGTTTTGTAGCAAGTTAAAAAGACCCCCTCTTAATACTGCGTACACTGTACTGTAGTACCAGCATACTAAATATACTTTTTATAAATTCTATGGAAAAATAAGGGGACTTATGTGTGTAAGAGTGAAATCAACAAAAGGGGAAATGAAAGTATTCATATCAAAATAAAGTTTGTTTAACACGTTTGCACTTTCTCTTCACACTAAGTGCTTTTGTGTGGGGCTGCCTTCAAATGTCCTTGTTATGTTTCTCCTGAGCCACGGCAACATTTTCTGTTACAAGCTGAGGAAGGAGATGTGACTAAGGGAAGAAGGGTGAGGCTGTGGTGGGTACCAGGCTCAGGGGGGACGGTCACTGCTGCCCCATCTCCTCGCCGGCCTCTGAGTCTCCGATGACCTCCCAGCTGGAGGCGGAGCTGCTGATGTGGGTGGGGCTCCGTCCATTGCCCGACCGCGTCAGGAAGCCAAAGCTGCAGCCGGCAGGGCAGAAAACAGACAGGCTGGGTCAGACAGGTTGTCAGGGATTACAGCTAAAAATAGTCCAGACTCTCAGGACAGCGACAGAGTGAGCAGAGAGCTGAAACCATTGCTTTGATTCACAGATGATGCCGGCTCTGTTTGTTTTGCTCTTTCTTTCAATTTGATTATTTATTAAATCTGTCTTTTCATATCTCTTTAAAGACTTTGGGCTCCAAAGAATAAGAATATTCTTTTGTGTCTCTTTTTCTTTTTAGATAAACAGTAGAAGTGGACCATGCAAAATGCAAAAATATTGTTTTTCTTAATAAAGAGACAGGTCAACATCATCATGACACAGCTGTATTTCACATGTTTCACTTTATCTCATTCTCAGTCAAGAGACTTCCCCTATACCACAATTACTTTCCAGAAGTGAAGGGAATTTCCAATTGTCCAGTAACTAATCTTCATGAGTTGATGGGGGTTAACATCCTCTATCTGAACATGGGACCTAATCTAAGGGTAAAAGTCAATTAACATGAAGAACAAGCCTATTTTAAATGTGTTGATTTGCTGAATTACTTCCGGGTCAACGGAATGCAGTTTTAGTGTGAACATGTTACTAAAATAAAACACTTGTATATGTTGTAAGTTAGGCATCATGCTTCCGTTTGTAAATAACCTAAAGATTCAGACAACAGGGTTCAAATCCATCTCAGGACTTTAGAAATGTCTGACATTTCCCATGCTTCAAGCAAATGGCCTAGATAATCCTGAGCTTTCCTGTACCTAACAAAAGGGATCATACACTAGATAAATTAAAACGTATCTACTAGCTTTTAGAGGAGCACTTCCTGTGTTTTGTCTCAGGTCACCAAAGTCAGTTTACTTTTGGGTAAACAACACTTTAAAATCATGCATGCACAGAAATGAACCAATGTTCTCTTATTGTAAAAACATGAAAGGGACAGATGCTGCCAGCTTTGTGGTTACAAGTCTGAGCACTGCAGTGCAGGGCAGATGTGTACTCACAGGTTTCGAATGCGTGACTCAGTTGGTTTCTCGGTGTCATCAACATCAGCCCTGTCTACTTCTGTCTGCCCAAACAGAGAACTCCTCTCCTCCTCATCACTGGCAAGGAAAAATCAAATGTAAATATAGAATGAAGTATTGATTTATGTGGTTGATGTAGAGTACCATGAAATCAGGCCTTTCATTTAACATGTATTTGACCATTATTCATTTTGAAGCTATCATCTTCCATGCTTTCAAAAAAGGAAATGCATGAAAAAACTATCAAATGTTTCATAGATGTTATCCCTCTAAATAAAAACTGTTTTAAACAGGCTCATTGTTTATGGATAAAGCAGGTGAACCAATGATCAGACAGACCTGCTGCTGCAATCGTTGGCAGGAATCCCGAGCATCTTTGCCTTAATGAGCTTTCTTCTTTTTTTGATAGCAGAGTGGACAGCTTCTAAAAGGAAACCTGGACACCTCTCCTCATTCAGGATCTCTCTGCAGAAACATACAATCATTTTTATTTCCATTTACTATCAGACAGTATCCCCCACATACCCAAACGTCCATGAATTGCTAAAAATGTGCCACTTCAGTACATGTTCAACTAAAGCTGGCTCTCAGATTGATGGCAAAACATCTCCACACACACAGCAGACCCACCTCTGATAGTAGTTGAGCTCCTCCTGAACCAGGAACAGGTTGGTTTTGAGCTCGTTCCTCTCGAAAATGATGTCACGCACCTCCTTCTTGGTGAAGCATGGCGGATCGGGGTCCTTCTGCTCAACCGTGGACTGTTTCTTTGACTCCGAGGCGGTTTGATTCCTACTTGACTGATGGCAGAACAGAGACAAATCAGGTCAAACAGACTCCTCAAACTACAGTCAATAAGTCTAGAGCTCCTTGGAGGAGGAATGACAAGAATGTGGTTGGAGTAGGTCTAAAGCAGCTGTAGTCTGATCAGCAGTACAAGCTTTAAATAAAGTTTTGGAATCTTCAGCTCCTGTCCAGAACATTACAGAATGATTCAAACAGCAGAATTAGTTATTGTCCAGATACATTTTGACCTGCAGCTCAGTAAATGTAATTATGTATACCAAATGTAAATGAGAAAAACAGTCTGAATTAGAAAAGCAAAGAATCTTTTGGACATGAAATAAAGGAAACATAATAGGAGTCATACAGGGCCGTTGCTGTTGGTTCTGTCCAGCTGTGTTTGGAGGTTTTCTATCTCTTTGGTTTTCTCCTTCAGGTCAGCCTCCATGTCGGCCTTCCTCTCCACGACGCTCTTCAGCTGGGCCTGCAGCACGTTCTGTTTATGTCGCAGCTCCGCATTCATCTTCATGAAGCGCTCCAACTGCTCCTGGAGCTGCACACACATACACAGATTAACAACAATTATTAGATCATAAGACACAAGATAGTATCCATATTTCCAACCGACAGGGAGCAAAAAGCAAAGCAATGCATTAACAAAACACACACACAGTCATGACTTAAATGATTTAAATCACGTGGTCGTAACACACATACAGACGCATATACTCATGCAAACTCTCATAATAAGAACACACACAATGGCTGTGTGGGGGAGGAAACTCTGCCCAGACTTGTGTGAAGTGCAGCTTCATCTCCACTCAGTAAATACTATGGATTATCTCTGCACTCTTCCCATTTTCTCCAACAAACTTCATATCTCCAAGTGTGTTTATTGGTATGGTTTACCTGATGCTAATTTGTGTTTGAGGTTGCATGTGAAATGTCATATAAACGTAGCATGATAGTAATATAATAAACACTTATTGCTCTAAGAGAAAACCCCACATTCCTTTAAGGAACTGACCTTTGTAGCCACAGCTATAAATACTGTATTATGATACTGTTTGTGCAAGTGGTGTAGGTGTCAGTGCTTTGAAGCCAATATAGCTTCCTTTCTACTTTGCTCTTCAGGCTAAAAGCCCTAGTGACCACCAAATGCTATCAGCTGTTTCATCAATCAAATTATCTTGCCGATGAGCATGAATGATCACATACGCAGAATAATTGTTATCAATATTCCTTACCGCCTCCACCTCTTTGGAGATGGTGGTTATTTCCTGGACTTTGGCCCTCAACTCATCTCTCTGCTTGTCCACCACCTCCTTCAGCTTCAGCATCACCTCTCGCTCCTGCCGCTGGACACGGTCTGAAAACAAACACAAAGGGTCAGGTAAAGAGAACTGTGTCCCTAAACATACATGCTTCTTGGGGAACATTTGAATTCCCTGCTTAGAGGATTATTTTTATAAATTAACTGGGGATAAGGGTGAGGATCCTCAATTGATTACACGATTGTGCAATAGGTAGTGTTATATTGTTATATTATATGGTATAATCGATGCATAATAAGGCAAGGCAAGGCAAGGCAAGTTTATTTATATAGCACCTTTCAACACAAGGCAATTCAAAGTGCTTTACAAAAAAAATGAAAGACATTAAGAAAATGGCATTTAAAATCAGTCATTAAAAAGATAATTTTTAATAAGGCCACTTTATTGATCTGTAGGGTTG